GTTTGGAGAAAAAAGGTGGAGCCAGATACTGCAGTGAAATGCTATGCTAAAGTGGACCTGTATGCAAATGTTGAAGTCTCACACCTTTTTAAGGGGGTTATTCGCAAAGCTGCCAACATCTGGATTGGCTGAGCCGAAGCTCCGGCAGCTCACTCGCTGCCGTTTGCCCCTATTCTCATAGGGGCCGAACGGTAGTGAGTGAATAGCTGAATGCCGCTGAGCGGCATTCAACTCGGCTATTCTGCTCGGTACCTCCGTGGTACCGAGCAAAATAGAAAATAAGTGAGAACAATGAGAAAAAAAAGAGTTGACATTTTTTTTTTTAATGTAAATAAATAGGAAAATAAAACATAAATAAAGCTATTTTAAAGAAGAAAAAAAAAAGAAAAACAATTTGGCAGAGCTAGCAGTGACAGCTAGCTACACCCAACTGTTTCATATTGGCCAGCACCTGCCAGAGTCTTCTAGCAGGTCCCGGCCAATGAATAACAACTGGGCGAATATGGCCGTGACTGTAGGGTATTCTCTGCATAAGGGACTGTAGGTAATTCTCTGTATAAGGGACTGTAGGTTATTCTCTGTATAAGGGACTGTAGGTTATTCTCTGTATAAGGGACTTTAGGATATTCTCTGTATAAGGGACTGTAGGATATTCTCTGTATAAGGGACTGTAGGGTATTCTCTGTATAAGGGACTTTAGGATATTCTCTGTATAAGGGACTGTAGGATATTCTCTGTATATGCAACTGTAGGATATTCTCTGTATAAGGGACTGTAGGATATACTCTGTATAACGGACTGTAGGATATTCTCTGTATAAGGGACTGTGTGGTATTCTCTGTATAAGGGACTGTAGGATATTCTCTGTATAAGGGACTGTGGGGTATTCTCTGTATAAGGGACTGTAGGATATTCTCTGTAAAAGGGACTGTGTGTGTGTGTGTGGGGGGGGTTGCATTATATAAATGTTAAAAAAAACCTCTTTAAACTGTAGAAACAAAATCCTGTAAAGTCAAAGCCCACTTGTTCCCTCTGACATTTTGTTCATGACCTTTTTTCTCCCTTTTTTTTTGAATTGTACTATCCTTCTCTTCCAACATATGGTTATTGTCATCATGTAATGCTGTGAGGGGATTTTTTATTGCACAATCATTGTCCTAATAAGGGAATAATTTTAGATGTTTTGGTGACGGAATCGAAAACCCCCATACAGTCTGTGTCTCCTCTGGCCTTGCTGATTGAGGAGGATGCGGTGGGGCTTGCCAGGTTCGCCCTCGGCTTGGCTAGATTTCGTGACAATGTTGACGGTTTTATGGGACATTTGAAATAGACATTTTTAGAAAGATGACTTTACAAGCATCACCTCGTCCCAAGTTTTGCAAATGAAATGTTTCCCCCACCCCCGGGCTCGGCTGAGGCTCTGTGCTTCCCAACAATTAGCGTTAATAATGTTGGAATTCTGAAGCACTGAATCACTAAATATTTTTGATTTAGATATAATTTCCAGTATAAGGCTAGGTTCACACTAGATGCAGTGCGTTCCAGCCTGATTCTGGCCAGAACGCACTGCATCGCATTGTGGCCGGCTCACTTTTTTGCGGGGCAGAAGGGGCGTGGCGGGCCATTGAAGTGAATTGCACCAAGTGCCATTGTGCCTTGCGATTGTGCATTCTGAAGTGAATTGTGCTTGCGGTCCGGTGCGATAGAAATGCTGCAAGCACTATTTTGATCGGACCGCACCGGACCGCAGGCACAATGTGCCATGCGACCCCGTGCAGACGATCGTATTGCGTCCGGAGGGCATGGCTACGGTGCCATTCACTTCAATGGCCCGCCATGCCCCCTCCTGCACCGCAAAAAGTGAGCCGGCCGCAATGCGATGCAGTGCGTTCTGGCCAGAATCGGGCCGGAACGCACTGCATCTGGTGTGAACCTAGGCTTAATGTTTAACTATATGATAGAAAAGCTACTTTAGTGACTGTTGGATAAATAAGGGATCTCACCATTTTCATGCACTTTAAAAGGAAATTATATTAAAGCAAATGTCAAAGCAAAATACGTGGTACATCTCTGCAATACATACACATTTCCCCAGGTTTTATCTATATAAAGATCCTGCAAGTACAGAAAAATACCTGGTGGTCTGCCAGAAACCCACTCATCATCTAAGTCCTGCTGAAGACACCATGCGGCATTTTTGTGGACTGAGCGATGTCAGCTCTGCCAACTGTCTTTTGCTAAACTACTCAACCACTCCCACTCTCAGATCTCTACAACATAAAGGCTAATTATTCTGTAGTTTAGGGTAAGAATTTGGAGGGCTAATTACTGTCCTTGAAAAAACATAGGAAGTGGGCACAGGACAGCTCTGACTTTCTGGTAAGGTCAACAGGTGGATGTGCACTTAATAAACAGATATAACAAAATGCTTCCAATGGTATATTTAACAGACCAAAAGAGAGTAAATAAGAGAAATCCATTGTTAGGGTTTCCATATTCTTTTCCATGAACAAAGGTGTAAACAGGGACTGAGCATTTTTCCAAGCGTTTTGTGCTTGCACTCTATTTTGTTCCACAGTGTGTTTTGCAGAGGAAGGCTGGCTCTTGTGCAACAAACGAGCATCAAAATGCTCAAAAACACTTGTGTCACGCATTTCCAGGCCTTTCCATTGAAGACAATTGGGCCAAAAGCACAGTAATCTGCAGAAGAGTAACTTGTGTACTTTCCCCAGGAACAGGCATTTTGGTACAGGCAACAAAACTCTCAAGTGTGAACAGGGGCCATAGAAAACAATGGGATTCCTTGTGTTGAGTGTTTTGCAGCTCTTAGCTTTGTGCTACAAAATGCTTAGGTGTAAACGGGGAGATTGCACAATCAGATGGTAGAGTGTATGGTCAGGTTTAGCTTGGTTAAAGAGTCTCTCTTTATCTACAGAACAGAAGCAGGTACTAGTCCAGGAGCGTTTGTTCAGATCTTTGCGTTCAAAACAGACGTTTCTCTCTAAGTACGATCCCGCTGCAGAGACACGTAGGATTTTCTATCGATGACCTCCCTTCACATACATATTTAATAGAGTAGATTAAGTATCTTCGTGTGTAAAACTTCCTTCCATCAAGAAACTCTATCCTTTCTAGTGAAGGACGGCCGCCATGAGAAACGGGAGAGATGGATTACAGGTCGGTTTTTTATTGTCTGTAGATTATACAGTGTATGAAACCGTAATTATATTGTCACCGCTGTTGCACAATTACACACAGTGAACGTGTGCTTAATGATAATTGGTATGTGCGACCCGAATTCACGGTATGTTAACTATCGGTTATTATACATTTCAGTGTAATGACTCAAACTTGTCTTAGAAACTTTCTTGTCTTTGTTTGTTAAAGCTCGAATGTGGAATGATACCTTTGAATTTGTGTCTTTGCCAATCTGAATGTCGAGATTTTATCCTAAAGTGTATTTATTGATAAAGTAGTAAAGGATTCACACTCCTGGTAGGCAAACTCCAGCCCTCGAGCTGTGGTGAAACAACATGTCCCATGATGCCTATGCCTCTTGGAATCATGCTTGTGGCTGTCAGAGTTGCAATGCCTCATGTGATTTGTAGTTGCACCACAGCTGGAGGGCTGGAGTTTGCCTACCCCTGCCCTATCAGGTTATTTTTTGTTGCCTGCATCCCACAGGGGAGAGTTTTCTTCATGTCTTGTCCTAGAGACACAACAGGAAATGAGAGGAAATCTCCCATGATGCCATATTCTATGATGCCTCTGCCTCTTGGAATCATGCATGTGGCTGTCAGAGTTGCAATGCCTCATGGGATTTGTAGTTGCACCACAGCTGGATGGCCGCAGTTTGCCTACCCCTGCCCTATATGGTTATTATATGTTGTCTGCATCCCGCAGGGGAGAGTTTTGCTTATGTCCTGTCCCAGAGACACAACAGGAAATAAGAGGAATTCAATTGAAATTTAATTGCCATATAAGATGTTAGTGGAATAGGTGTCCCCACTAAAAAAAACTTTACTTCAAAATGAGCATATGATGAAGAAATACATAAGCAAAGGTCACTGTTAGGGAAAACTGTATTTCAGAACCATCAATAGATCCAAAGATATAGCCAGCGTAAATGAAATGCAATATATAAATGCAAATTCTGGCTTTTAATTAAAAAGTCGGACATGGACCCAACCTCTCCCAACCATGTGCTAAAGCACAACTCTAGCTAGAGTGTGGAAGCGTGCCAATTTTTTTTTGCTGGTTTTGTCCTTGTTGGTGAGATAACTTCCTGTGCGGCCGCTAGGATAGGCAAGGTAAAATCTCCCCTGACATATTCACAGATGGCAATCTGTCAGAGGTTCTAACATCTCCCAGACTAACTGAAACAAACATGAGTTTAGCCTGGAGTTAAAGTGGTGATGATGAAATAATTTACAATGGATGCTGATGATTGATGCTTGATGTTTAAACATTTTAATTTCCTGAAAAATCAGCTGGTCCGCTTAGCACTGGCCCTGATATTCTGTTTTAGGGTGGCTCCTTTCCCTTGCAGGGTTCTGTGGAGACACCCTTGTGTGTGCTGATAAGCTGTATGTGTCTCCACAAACACAAACAAAGCAAACCAAGCCACTGCTCTGTTACCCGTTCCTCCCTCCTGCCATCTTAAAGCTAGTAGATGGACAACTGATGGAAACTGCTCTGTCCCTTGTGATCTTCTACTGGACAGGGAGTTCAGGGAAGCTGAGCTGAGAGAGTTGAATTGACTGTAAGTGCTTGTGCAAGGGTTTAAAGAAATACTTTCCTGGGCAATTTATATTTGCTTTATCTGAATCTATTACTAAAAAACAGTTTGAGAGTTAAATACTACTTTAAGCTTTAACTTTCCATTTATTTTTTGCAGAAATAGCAATTTCGCATCTGTGTGATATTTATTTATCAATACGAAATAAACACAAATGAGAAAATGATGACAACGTAAAATATCTTTACTCTTCCCATTACAGAGTAACCTATGAAAGAAATGACGATGATGATGAGGAAGCTGCCAGAGAGAGGCGCCGGCGAGCTCGCCAAGAACGGCAACGGCTGCAAAGGGATGATGGAGATGGGAATGAGATGAACTCTCAGAATAGGTAAATTCAGTTTGTTTGTTTTTTAGGCGGTACTTATTAGCTTTATGCCTGTTTGTTGGTGGTGGGAATGGGTGGACCTGTAAGTCTAACTTGTTTCATTTTTCCTAACACCTTGCCCCCATACATCAAAACTATTTTCAGTAATAATCATGCAAGCTGGGGGTGGGAGTAGAATTTCAATAGCTGGTGGAAGGTGGATAGCAGCAGCTGTAAGTACAGCTGCAAGGATATGCAGAGATATTGAATGTAGCATATCAATCCTTCTGACATGCAGGAGATCAGAGGCTCTATCTCCTGCATAGTTACTTATATTTAAAAATAGGAGGGACAGCATTGAGGTTTCAATAAAAAAAACCTCCATCCAGGGTTGATGGTCAGTGGCTGACTGTATAAAATAACCCCCCAAACCTTGGTGGTCATTGGCTGGCTGTATAAATACCCCCCCAATTACTGATGGTCATTGACTTATATCCCACTCACCCTAGCATTTGTGGTCAGTATCGGGCTGTAACGATAAACAACCCGCAGCATTGATGGACAGTGGCTTGCTGCAACAATAATAATAGCACCCCTTAGGACCTTTTCACAGGGCTGGCATCCATTCCGATCAGCAGGGGATCCGTGCACAGATTCCCTGCTGATGGGAGCAGTACGGAATGGATGTCACTAACCGGACCCATGTTAGGTCTATGGGCAGTTGGATGTAAGTGGACATGTCCGTTTACATCCAATTACCTCCAGTCCGTCACATTCAGGTCTGCCAAAACAGAACACTTTTCTGTTTTTTAATTCAGACCTAGACGGACTTGGAGGCAATTGAATTTAAACAGACGCATATCCATTTATATCCATGTCCATTTGAAACACTGGCAGCCGGATCTGGTTGGAAAGGCATGTGAAAGGGGTTTTACATTGGTGTACAGCGCTTCCTTATTGGAACACTTCTTCCTCCACCGAACTCTCTCTCACGGTTGAATCAGGACTATAGTTCACCTTTCGAGCGGAGATCACCCCACCTGTCAGTTTTGGCTTCTTTCATTGCCCGATACTGGAATGTAGAAAGGGTTCCAGCACCCGGCACACTGCTGCCTATCAACATATTGCCGACAGCTGCTCTGGGGCACCCTTCAAGTGGTAGTACCCAGTGCGGCAGGTGTCATGTCTCCAGGCCACTGTGTTCAAGTGATGAAGCCTCCAACAAAGTTTTCACACTTGATACGCTTCCGTATGTCAGATGTCTGGTCCAATGCTGCCCTCCTACCTTACTACTGCAAGCAGGAGAAACCAAAGCTCACAGGGGCTGCAGGCATTCAACACTCCCGGAAGTGGTAATTGCAGTGGATTTCAGACTTGTCGCCCACCAGAGAAGTAAGGATTCACAGTTTTCTATTGCAGGGACCATACTTTAACACACCCATTTAACCAACACGGAGTGAAGGACAGGGAGCCCACCCTCACTCTCCCTGTCCAGACTCCAGAGCCCAAAGCATCAAGGATTCTAACAACCAAACTCTGTTCCTCTGGAGTATAAATGACCAAGCAAGCCACCACACCTTGGTGGCAGATATATTCCAACATGTACCAACCATGGGGCCACCTTGGGGCTGTTTGTCGCAGTGTTCAAGTGTGTAGCAGGAATTTTCCATTAGAAAGTAGATTTAAGCAAACTGAGACAAACTGTTAGTGGCTGCCAGTGCTGACCTTCTTCTGAAAATACTGATTGCCCGCCTATTACCCTGACCCTCGGGTTTCAGTCATTAGCCCAGAACAAGAATGCAGATTGAGATAAAGTCCGAAGTTGGAGATTTTCCCTCACTTCCTGTTTGGTAAAAACCATTGTCACCAGGACAGGAAAATAGGGCAAATCTCTATATCAGATTCCCGCATATTAGTACATTTGTAACACAGCCTCTGATCCTTCCTCTCCCTATCCAAATCATTAGAAATGTTTACGCTGGACATACAGTTTCACTCCACACTTATTCTAGGTCACTGACCCACAGTTTCGATGCCAGAGGGTCAGGATGAGAACCGGACAACAAGCAATTGCAGAATGAAGAATAGCCTTGTTTCTCTCCGGAAAAGTTTATTTTAAAGGAATGTAGCCTACAGTGAATGTTTTCACTCTGAAAGTCCAATTTGTTTTAAGAAAGAAAAAACTCATGGGAAAATGATAACATAAATAGTGAAGTGTCTACGGAATGCCTAAACTTACTGCAGAGGATTGAAACTCCAGTCGCCTTTAAAAATGTAAATATGGCAGCGAGCTGAAAGGGAGGTTAGAGGTAACTGTCAGCCTGTACTTCAGACATTACTTACATTAAATGGTTATACAAGAAGGAATTCCTTCAATTATTCTTCTTTTATATGTGTGTTTAAAGACCCAAACTAACACTATGGCGACCAACATAAAAATGTTTTATAATCATTGGCTGTTAAAGTGTATGTATAATCAAAACTTTTTTTCTGGTTTAGATAGGGAGTGGTTAGAAACTCTTTCAGGTTTTCTGTGTCCCTGCTAGGGAGATTCCCACTCTCAGTTTGTCCAGGGGACCAATGTCTTGAGCTAGAACTTGATGTGAAATTCAACATCTAATAGCCGTCACCAGAACAAGCGGTAAGGTGGAATCTTCCAATTAGGATACCTGTTCTAGTGATAATTGTCTAAGAGGTAATTTTCCCATTTTTTTTTAGATTTACCCTCACTTCCTGTTGTGTGTTTGAGACAGGAAGTGAAGAAAAACCTCCCCAGCAGGACATACAGCAAACCAAACTTCAAAGGGGTTCTATTCGTTCCCTATGAAAAAAACTAATTTTGGTTTTCATCAGGAGTTGCTGCAACTGCAGTTCTGAGACAGCATAAATGTTCGTTTTATTTGACTTAAAACAGAATGAGTGCAGGGATTTCTGTTGCAGTTTTTCACTGTTTTTTATTAAACATATTTGGGGGGAATTGATCAAAACTGGAGCAGACAAAATCTGGAGCAGTTGCCCATGGCAACCAATCAGCTTCTATCAGTTGCCCATGGCAGCCAATCAGCTTCTATCTTTCATTTTAAAAGCTTAAGTGAACAAACTGAAGAGAGAAGCTGATTGGTTACCATGGGCGACTGCTCCAGAATCTGTCTGCTCCAGTTGTGATAAATTATTGCCTCTGTATTGAAACTCAAAAAAAAAAAGAAAACCATGACATTTGATTTTTGTGGTCTTTTGCACACTTGCTCATTCAATTAAAGTAAAACTCCAGCATGGCTGGATAGAGCGGGGAGGGGGCTAGAACCTCTATTAGGTTTGCTTATTGAAATATTTATTGCTTTCTGTGTTCCCATTGGGGTGACTAACCTTCACTTCCTGTCTAGAAGACATTAAAGAAACTGAAAAGATATCTCCTCAAAGTAAGGCCTCGACAGTTGTTGGAATGGGTGCTTCCACTGGGAGATTTTTCCTCTACCCCTGTCGCAATGACAAATGTAAACTTTTATAATTACACTTACTTCATGTCATGAAGAGCTGTCCACAGTCCTTCAGCCTCCTCCACCCATGCTCCATTGATGAGGTTGTAGCTAGGGCAGACACTAGAGGCCAGGAATGGAATCTGTGCCCATTGGCCTGGTAGCTGTAGGCACTGTGGCAAACTTGGAAGGCTGTGGACCATCTCAGTAGCAATGGAGAATGATAAAGTGTGGGTACACTGAGAGGGCAGGCACCAGTCACTCATGAATTCATAATTTGGGATGACAGTATGTGGATGATTGAGCACCCCCCAACCTTCCGCTGCTCTAGGCCATGGCCTGTGCATGAATCCAGCTAAAGTCACAAGTATCTTCGAATGTGTGTGTTTTGTTACTCTTTGCCTGTATGCATTGTATCACTTATTATATACTAGACCATTTCTGTTTTCCTAGAGTCCTTGATGTTAATGTAATTCATTCATTCTGAAGACTTTTCAAAATAATTATACAGTAAAACATATTTGTTTTAACAGCATTACAGTAGAAGAGAGCAGTACCAAGTCAATAGCAAGCACAAACCTTTCAGCAGACACTGAGGCTGCATCATCGCTTGACAAGGCGGCCAAGCGAGAAGAGAGGCGCCAAAAACGTCAAAAAGAGACCTTAGAACGTCAGATGGAATTTGATCCAACCATATCCATAACGACCAATGAAAGTTATTCGATTTCTAGAAGCACCAGGAATGGAGAGAATGAAGTCCAAGAGAATGATACTTCTCCAAAAGTGAATGACTCAGAGCTTCATCAAGAACAGCACAAAGCAGAAGAGACTGAAACAGTAGAGGAACTCACTGAGAAGAATGATAGAGAAGAGCAAGAGGAAGAAGTAGAAACAGATCAAGTTGAGGTCAAGCAGGAAGTTCAGGAAGAGACGCCTGAGGAACCTCTTGTAGAGGAGAATCAGGTAGAAATGACTTTCCAAATTAAAAATGTGGAGGTATCTAAGAATGAGACGTTTGGGGAAGTAAGAATAGAAGCAATGGTGTCAAGAGAAGACAACAAGCAGGAGAAAAGAGAGGCAGAGTGTAGAGAAGCAGAAGAAAGGGAGAGGATTGAGGCAGAGAAAAAGGCTGCTGAGGAAAGGGAAAGGAAAGAGGTGGAGGCTAAGCGGGAGGCAGAAGAAAGGGAAAGAGCTGAGGCAGAGAAAAAGGCTGCCGTGGAAAAGGAAAGGATTGAAGAAGCCAGCAGGGAGGAAGAGGCAAGACTAGAGGTTGAGAGGAAAGCAGCTGCAGAACAGGAAAGGATAGAGACAGAACAAAGAGAAAAACAAAGAGCCGAGGCAGAAGAGAGAGAGAGGAGGGCAGCTGAGAAAGCAGAGGAAGAGAGGATAAAAGCAGAGCAAAAAAGAGCAGAGGAGGAAAGAAAGAAAAAAGAGGCAGAAGAAAAAAAGGCAGCAGAGGAAAAGAAAAAAGCAGAAGAGAAAAAGGCAGCTGAGGAGAAGGCTAGGTTAGAGGCCAAAAAGAAGGAGGATGAGAAAAAAGAGAAAAGACCAGACAACAAACAGGTAAAAGACAAGAAGGTGGAGGAAAAGATCCAGCCGGCCTTCCTAAAGAAGCAGGTACCTTTCTTCCTCTCACCGACACTTTTTGCACCTGTTTTTTTGGAAAATGGAATGGCAGCCAGAGTTTTGTGCCTCGCTTGCACCTAGTTTGAGATCCCATAACATTTACTGTCACCTCCTGTGAGAACTTTGTTTGCTGACAGCTCGGGAATTTCCCTTACACCCTGCTTACAGCTTTCACTTTTTTTAATGCATGATCATTCCTACAACTTTTCTTTGTCTGGGGGTTAAGTTAGCATGTCGTAGATAGGTTAGCTTTTTGAGTCATGTTTTTGGGTGTCACGCCTGCCATCACATTTGTGTGTGTATCACAAGCTTCCACACCACAAATCATAGCAAAATGTATTTCAAAGATCTCTTTATTGAAATGGATAATTATTATAAAAGCTACTCACAATGCTACAGCAAATTAAAATAAAACCTCAAAAAGAAAATCATAAATAATAATAAAGTAGGACAAAATATGTTGGATGTCTTTGCAGGGTTTTTTGGCATAGAGTAAAGTATTTCATATCATGATGATATTTTATTATAGTTATGAACTCACCAACATGTTACCAAATAGTACAAAATACAAATAATTGTTAGGACTAACAAATATACAAAATTATGACTTTATAATGATAAAAGTAAATAAAAGAACAAAGATATTAAACATAACATGCAAATAAAAAATAAATAAATACGAAAAGAGAACCAAAAGCAAATGCCCCCTACATGCTTCCAACCTTCCTTTCCCCAAACAGGGTCTTTGGGGCTTGAGAAAGATCCTGCTAGGGTTGAAAGGCGTAGTTGTTTTTTTACTGAGGATTTACACTAGTCAGCTGCTGACAAGGGAATACATGGTCCCCAAGCATCTGAAACTTCAGAATGCAGACAGGTGCTTGTGCACAGCATTTTAAATGAATTGCAGAGTCCTCATAGATTTTTTAATGTGATCTGAGCCTTGTAGTTATTCAAGTGGAAGTTCACCATAAAATTACTCTATGAACAGCCATATAACACATGTATCTTGATAAATGCACAGTACCATGTTTGACATCTGCCAGCTCTAGTTGTCCAGCAATCCGCATTGAAAGCTGCCGGCCATTTACCAGCAACATAATGCAACTCATGGTGTCCCTCAACCCACTCTGTGCCATCTACGCTTTTGACAGCATCCGAGCCCAGTGGAACTGTTTCCCAGTCAGACTTTATGGTCACAAGATGCACTCTAGATAGCATGGAAGGGGCTGACAGACAACATGAGTTGCATTTTGTCGCTGGTAATTGGCCTCCAGTTTCCAATGATGTATTCTGGACAATTGGAGCGCGGACAGAAGTTAAACGTGATACATTATTCAATGCGTTACATGTGGTATATGGCTGTTTATTGTTTGTAGAGTAATGCTAGGGTGAACTACCACTTTAAGCTAAGTAGCTGCCCTATACCTGCATTGGAATGATTTATAATGTTGCGGGATTTTGGTGTTTTAAATACTCTGATTTTTTAAGAAACCAGCTAATTTTAAAGGAGAACTATGGTGTCAGGGCTTTTCCCCATAGTTCTCCTTAGGGTAACGGGAGGACACAAACTATTGTCCTCCCGTTACCTTAAGCTCAGTATACGCCGGAGCGGATCCCGACATCGATGTCGAGATCCGCCCAGCTGCGTGAGTGACAGCTGGCTCTGCCTATCTAGTGGCAGAGCCAGCTGTACCCACCCCCTCCACCGTCCGTTCCGCCAGTCAACGCTGGCGGATCGGAGCGGGGAGGGGGGAATCCAGCCCCTCCCCTGTCACGGCAGAGAGCCGTGACCGGATCAAGAGGTGAGCGAACGCCGGTATCTGTTCGCTCACCTCCCGATCTACTGAGCCGACCTGTGACAGTCTCATTGTCACAGGTCGGCTAGAACTATGAGGTGAGTGGAAATCACTCATCTCATAGTTCTCCTTTAACAAATGATACATCATAAAATATAGACTTTTTATTGTTTGTGAGGCGCCGATCATTTGTTTGATACAAGTTAGAGATTCTGAGTGTGTGCACTCACCTGACAGGCGGAGCTGTGCGCTATGTTGTATTTTGCCAAGCACTATACTGCCTGCAGAGACAAGCTTGCACCGTGTGATAGCCATTGCACGTATACCACCGGTAGACCGTTTTCAAAAGTTACATTTCAGCTTTAAATATGGAAAGGGAGAAGACAAAGAAAATAAGTTTGAAGCTAAAAAGGACGAGAAAGTGCGAGCAGGCTTCAAAAAAGATGAGGTAGGATTGTACTTCCTTCGCTGTTGTAGAAAAAACACTTTTTTGTTAAAATAAATGTAAAAAATTATAATTGAAATTTAAGACAGACGTCCAAGGGGTTGAATATGAAATATATGAAAAAGTAAACATGAATGTATGAATGTGACTGTTTAGATCATTTAGATACCTATAGCCAAAAGAGTAAGGGTCCATTCAACCTTAAGCATTCCATTGTGGTGTGCTAATGGCACGTACGAACGTGTGCTGTGTTAGGGCAGTCTATTCATTATGAATGGGCTGTCAACACAATGTATGAAAAAAAACATACATGACCCTTTTTTAATAATGCAGCGCGCCCACTATGCACAGTATGTGCACTGGGATGCCATTCATAATAAATGGCACTCCAAGCACCATACACAGAGCAGGTGCATTGCCATGAGTTGTGGAATTGTGAATGGGCCCTAAGGAAGGTTTAGAACCCCTATCAGGTTTTTATTGCTGTCCTCCCTTGATAGATGAACCCTTTCTATTTGTCACCTGGCAGAAAGTGATGTAAAATCCCATATTTTACAGTTGTAACTAAAAAAATGAGGTGAGGGCAAATCTTCCAGTGGGGGCACTTGTCTAATAACAATTGGTAAGAGTGGATTTCACCTGGCGTTAGAGAGTTTAATTCTGTTTTGGATGAGTGGGGAAGGGTTAGATCCCCTGTCACGGTTTTATTAATGTCTGTTACCTTTGTGGTAATTTCCACTCACAGGACAGGAAGTGATGGGATATCTTTTCAGCAAGGACACATTTTTGGTAGGGTGGAAAAGTGTAAGAATTTCTAACAGAAGTTGTAATTCTTGTCTGTGCCTTCCTGTCTTGGTAATAACCCTTGAATACAATTGTCACATGGCCATGAACTGTGGGAAAATCTCCCCAACTGAGTCACAGACAAGATTAAAATCCTGAGTGAAATTTTAAATCTTCCTCATTCTGTCCAAAACTTTAAAAAAATTGTTGGAGTTAGGCATTTTCATTTTTCCTCTACTTATATTCTACAGTCTACTATGAAAGATTGTTGTCAGGATTATTCACAAAAGGGTGAAGAGTTTGGAGAAGGCAGGAGAAGAGAACAATCTAGGACAACATAGCTGAACTGGGAAGTGAATGGAATTGGAGAATTTGTCCAGTTCAGCTATGTTGTCTTAGATTGTTCACTTCTCCTGCCTTCTCTAGACTTGTCACCCTTTTGTGAATAGCCCTGTATATGCTGGCTTACATATAGTCGTGATTCTGATTTCTAACTTCAGTAACAAACTAATCCTCCTAAAGATCTGACACTAATCTATTAATACATAGTTAATAGTGGATTCTGTAGTATGGCCTTCAACCAAATCTTCTGCATTACATTTTTATTAGAAGCGCAGAAAATGGTGCAAATGGTGTCTGTGTTCATGGTAAGTATCAAACCAAAATTTGTTATCAATATCACTAAGACAATAGACAAAAGAAAACATAGACAAATTGTAGTGTGAGATTTGTTTTTACGAGCTATAAAACTAATGCTAGGTGTAAAGTATTACATGGTGCTTATCGAAGTAAATATAATAGAACTACGGAGGCATGCGTTTAGGGAATAATCAGTGCCAAAACTGCTCATACAAAGAAAGAGTCCTTAAAGGAGAACTATGGGGAGATGATAACTATTTATAACTATCATAGTTATAATATAACTATGATAGTTATAACTATGATAATTGAGGCCGAAGTGTGACACTGCAGCTGTCACACAGACGTCGCCTTTATAGGTCGAGAACGGAGCGATCATAAACCATGATGTCTGTTTACATCTGGTTACCCCTGATCCGGCACAGTAAGGTCCGGCGAAACAAATCTCTGATCCATTTGTTCTTCTCGTCCTGGCCGGAACTGGGGGTAACCAGATGTAAATGGATGCCCGTCTGTTTAGATCCAGCTGCCCATACTTTAACATCGGGCTTCCCATCAGGTCCTCCTGAAAAACTGAAAGGTGGATCTGATCAGAAAGCCCGTGTGAAAGGGGCCTAACCATTCCTTATTTTATCCAAAACAGCAAAAATTTTGAAAATGTACTGTACTTTAACTTAACCTTGCATAAATGAATCCCAAAAACATTTAAACTGAACTCCTGAATTAGCAAATATTGTGTAAATACAGTGGAAGAGTCATGTGTTTTCTTACTTGAATTTTTGTGTCCTTTATATGTTTCTTCCAAGTCTGTGAAATAATCTAGCATGACATTTTGCTTCTGTTGAGGTTTGTCCTGTAATAAAGACCAGTCGCTTCTGCTCTCTCTCCTTGTACAGGGTGACTGGTCTTGTAATCTTTAATCCAAACCCTTAAAATAAACTCTGTGACCCTATGCCGAACCATAATTTAACCCATAGCCTGCTCCCAAATGTTAGAAGGATCACTAAATCATTGTACTTACCTTATAATAAAACAGAAACAATCCCTCAGGAAGATGTACCAGCTCTGAAACATCTGCACCGGATGATCACATTTACCCTTTAGAAGGGATCTGCAACTAAAAGAAATGTCCTTATTTTCTTTTCTTTATATTCTCCTTTTTAGGTTAAAGATGAGAAAGGGAGAGGTGGGAAGGAAGAGTTAAAATCCAGCTGGGAGCGAAAGAAAGGATTTCCTGAAAGCAAAGCCCAGAACGGAGAAAGTTTACATGAAGTTACACCACAGAAGCTCAAACATTTGGACAAATTTGGGTAATTAACCTTCTCTGTCAGCAATCACTGCTCTTCCTAAAATGTTAACCTTTTTTTTTTTCTTTAAAGAGAACTAAAGCCAAACCTTTTTTTGCTTTAGTCCTCTTTTGGGTCAAAGGAGTACATTTCCTAATGTATTCCTGTGACCCAAAGTCAGCATCTAGCAGGCTACTGCCCTCTATTTGCTGACAGTGCAGAGCTGCAGTGCAGCTGGGAAAGGTCCCTACAAAATTGTTAGGATCCACCATGTTGCCTGATTGACAGGAGGTTCTGCCTCTCTAAAGCCAGAGCCAACTGTGCCACCCCATTCCCTGTATGTTAGGAATAAATAGAGGGGAGGAGGGAATCCCTGCGGGGAGCAGTGACAAGTCAATGCTCTCTGCAGGGAGGAGACCATGAGCTGAGCAATCAGCAGTTTGTGATCGCTCAGCTCTCGATCTATAGAGCCGGCTTGTGACAACTGCAGTGTCACACGCCGGCTCCCAAAATTTCTCTTTTAAATGGTTTGCATCACAGGGTAAGCAGCACGTTTACCTAAAAATATCTCATATTAGTTAAAGTAGAATTCTGGTCAGAATAACTCTTGGAAAGCAAATAAATCTGTTTTTTTATTATTAATGTGGACTGCAGTAGTACCTTTGCGCTGCTCTGCTACACCTATAACTCATATCTTTATCACATTTTTTAGTGGGTTCAGATACCCCATCTGAGTTTATATAATTTCTTTCAATTAAAACAACACGCCGCACTTTAATGATACAACACGATTATTTACTGAAGTTTAGACAATTTATTCGAAATACTTTTCTTTTCAAGACAATGTTACACTTAATATAAATAATAAGCCACCTTTGGATGGACTGGGCATTTACTATTTTTACTTCTGGATTAAAAATGATATATGTGAATGTAAAGATGGTTCTCTGTAGGCATACAATATAAAGGAAATACCTGTTTCATATTTGAGTATATGGTTCTCTGCAGGAATACTGTACAAAAGGAGCAAATACATTTTCCTTGTTTTTTTTATTTTTATCATTGCTTGTCTTTCTACAGTCTTGCGTGTACATTTGATGTCTGACCATCAAAGTTAGTTCCCCCCCAGCTATATTTAGATATCCCTGCAATTTATAAGCAGATTCCACAGCTGCTGGTTGACACGTCATATTTGTAAATGTAAAGCGGTTGGAGTAAATGCTTCATCTTTGACCCAAGAGTGGCTTGGGAAAAAGACTTGCTGCGGCTATTTTAACCTCTGTTACTGCGTTCACAGAGCAGTTCCAGGGAACTTCAAGAGCCTACTTATTCTCAGGCTAGAAAATTCCTACATTATACTCCAGTTTAAATTCCAGTTTCCTTCCAGTAATCTCTATCCACTTTGTAACTATTTTTAATTTCACTTTTCATTATGGTTTACAAACTCTAGGCAGATATCAAAGACACAAAGAAATGCAGCTCTTAATTCATAAATACCTGATTTAATGTATTTATAAATGCAAGTAGTGTAAGTATTTGAATCTGACCAGGTATCATCCTCTTGCAGTCCCTGAACAGCAGGGCGGAAGTGTGAAAGGAAGAAGCAGTACAAAGAGTCAATTAGGTCATGTGCTCACAAAGCATGCTAATGGGAGGGGAGAGCAGGTAGATTAGCATATCACTGTGCTGCTTCTCCTTTCACCATTCAGGTGAAGTGACCTGTGTTTACAGGAGGTGGGTTTAATAATGCTGGCTATCAGACCGAGGACATCTAGCGGCAAACAAATGTACTGTGAGGGAAATCTCTAGATGGAAACAAAATAGTGCAGCAAAAGTGGGTTGGGATCTTTTATTTTTGAATGGGCTATTCATTTTTATATAGTAGTACATTTTAATCACTTCTTTATTGTTTCACAATTCATTGGCATGTCAAAACTGCACATGTTTATTTGTTGTTCATTTTAGGCAAATACCTGTTTTAAGTGATTGTTTCCAAACCCAGTTTTTATGGGTGGTCATTAGTCTTGACATTGCATAAAACAGAGGACCGGCACTGCGAATGGTCCACCTGGCAGTCCCACCAGACTGGCACACCACATGCTTTCTAGTATCCCCATAGCAAGGGGCCAGAAAGCTTATGGCTCCCTGCCGTGGTACCAGACACCCTTCAGAATCTGGAGTCATTTTTGTGTAGCCTCCAGAACAGTGGCTCCCTCTTAAACCACCATTGCTTCATGCTTGTAACCATCAGAATTTTAGGTGCCCTTCCAATACCCAGCAGATGGAGCTATTATAGGAGGAATACTGTTTAACCGGCCTGCTCCTCACAAGTTAAAAATGCCTTTAATATTTAAAATCCACAATGACAACCTGTTTTTCCTGGATCCTGAGAGATGTAGCCACTACTTCTGTAAATGTACTGGAAAGGATGGTTATATGCTTAATAAAGGAAAACGGGTCAAAACAAATCAATGAATATTAGAATGGGAGGATTGTTCAGACATTGTAAAGATACAGGACACAATGTATAATTATTGGTTCATTATTTATTAATTTATTGTTTGCGGTTGGTATTATGTATTAATTGCTTACTGTCTGTAGATTAACATTCCCATGCATGGTGCCCTGTGCCAAGGACTTAATAATTATTTGAGGACTTTAGGTGTAGGTAATTTTTCCCTAAAAAAACGTCAACAAAGTTTCAAGGGTGTATCTCCTACACTCTGCTCCTCTCCGATAGCCACTGTTCCCCTGCCAGTGTTACCAGCTGTAAAAATGACAGCCAGGAATTGTTATATATTACATAGAAGGAGTGGCTGTTAACCTGCAGCCACTCCAGTGTAAAATGACACTTGCAGATAGTCTATTATAAAAGTGTCATTGAGTAATACATTTTAACAAAGTATTGTTACACTGTATTTAGTATTTAGCTCATATATTGACGCTGATGCTGCTAAATGTAGTCTGAGCATCTACACATCAATGACCTCTGGTATTAAAAGAGTTAAAGCAAAAAAAAATGATCTTGCAATTCTGATAAACAGAATTCATCTAGAAGCAATGAATACTCATGTGTTATTTACTTAATAAATGCATTCTTATTGTTTCCTTAGTGGAGTGAAAGGACAGCCGAGTGGCGATGAGGCCGACTCTGGAGCAAAGGTGGAAACAGGAAAAAAATTGGATGACCTGCGTCGTCGTAGAGGTGAGACCGAAACCGGGGAGTTTGATAAGCTAAAGCAGAAACAGCAGGAATCTGCAGCGGGACTGGAGGATCTAAAGAGAAAACGTGAGGAGAGGAAGAAGGCAATGGAAGAGGAGGAGCAGAGAAAGAAACAGGAAGAGGCGGAGAGAAAAGCCAGAGATGAGGTGAGGGCTTCCTCATTATCCACCTTGCTTGTCAATTCACCTGATTTTTGTAAAGAATTCATCATAAAATCTTCACTGTTGCCAAAGTTTTGGTGAATATTAATTAAAGGCTGGAGTGATAAATAATGGTGGCCATACATTTCAATATTCAACTGTTCTATAATCTAAACATCTCAATTTGTATATATTAAATCTGTGTGCATTTTCCCCTTTCAAACTGTTTTCTAATGTTGAATTGTACAGTTAAGGCCCCGTTCACATTGAGCGATTTATCGTGCGGTAATTCCCGCGATATCGCGGCAAATTACCGCGCGATATCGCTCTCCAATGCTTCTCAATGGGGCAAAGGGTCCTGCTGTCGCGGGTCGTGTGTCGCTACAGCAGGACTCTTTTTGGAGCGGATTTTGCCGCGATTCAAATGCTTTCAATGAAAGCATTTGCGCGATATCGCGTGGCAAATCTCGCGATATCACGCAAAATGCAAATCGCGCGACAAACGCGCGATTTGCATATCGCGGAGTGTGAATGGGGCCTTAAAGTTGGAAATGGGGGTATGGTGGGGAGAATTTATCAAAACTGGAGCAGACAGAATCTGGAGCAGTTGCCCATGACAGCCAATCGGCATCTCTCTTCAGTTTGCTCAGGTAAGATTTGAAAATGAGACAGAGAAGCTGCTCCAGATTTTGTCTGCTCCAGTTTTGATAAATTTCCCCCAGTGTGTTTTTCAAGGGAATAATTTACTGATCCAGTTCAATATATTGTTGCATCCAAAAAAGGTATTAAAAACATTTGAAAATTGTGTCATAATTGGGCTCAGACTAAAATAAACAAATGCATGTGTGGCATCGTGAAAATAATTATTCCCTCTCATTGCACCCAGAAATAAAAATGCAAAATTATTGAGTGTGACCATCACAAAAACACATCAGCAAAGCCACATGTTACTACACAATTTCATTTACTATTTGTGGTTTATTTAGAAGTGTGTGTGTTTTATTCTCCAATGTGATTTTTATATGGGCCTCCCTCCTTGATTGACAACATGGTATTACTGGGATTATGACCCATGACTTACTCTGAGTTTAGTTTTAGACACTAATAAGGGCCTTTTTACAATACATGCGGTGACTGGCTTTTTAAGAGACCGGCTAGTGTGAACCAGCCGTAGACTCCCTGATATTCTGCTGCTTGTTACTGTGTTCTTAGTTCTAGTTGTAACGTTGTAAACCTTTTCTGCTCTATAGTTGTAAAGATTTCTCATAACTTCCTGTCCTGGCAGGAAGTGAAGGGAAATTTCCCCAAGTGGGCACACAGAAAGCATTAAAACTCCGACACAGGCTCTAACCCATTCCTGGTCTGTGCAAAATGAAATAAAAGCTGCGCTTTAAATGCAAAAGTAAAGCAGTGTGAGACTCTTTGCTAAGGGTGAGAAACACATGGAGGAGATGAAGAGGGGGAAATCTTGCCGCCAATGTCTGACAAAATATCAGTCCAGTGGATGTTTTACCCAACTTGAATCCAGACATAATATCTAGACATGTACATTTTGTTTTATTCCCGTATGTATATGCGTACGAATTTCGTTAAATGCGGACATTCGGATGCATTCGAATTTTCGAATTCTAACACATCCAAATGCGAACGAATCCGAATGCCCGTCTGAATTTCGTTAAGAAAGAAACTAATTCGGACATGTGACTGTTCTTTGGCCAATCACATTTGTTTTTTGGCTGTTTGGGGTTACATTACAGGCGCAGTCATGCGACTTTGTTCTGAAACGAACATTCGGACAGATCCGAAATCTAAATAACGAACCGAATCAAAAAAAGAAAAAAAATCCAAAAGGATCCATAAGAAAACTCAACACATTTTTTGTGGGGTTACATGTCTAATAATTTCAGCTTTCGGTTCAATGTTGCATTTGAATAAAACATGATTTTAGCATAATATATATCGCTCTTGTATTTGTAGGAAGAAAAAAAGAGACAAAAGGAGGAAAGAGAGAGGAGAAGAGCAGAAGCTGCAGAGAAACGTCAGAAACAGGAAGAAGAGGGAGTATCAGACGAAAAGAAACCATTTAAGTGTTTTACCCCAAAAGGCTCATCCTTTAAGGTATGGATACAAAGTGATCTAGTGTGTGCGTGTTCCTAGTTCTGACACTTGTTTGGGTCTTCCCTTTGTGATCAGGAACCAATGACAACCATGACAGCTATTAACTTAATTTTCAGGCCTAAAATGTGGAATATAACATGGGTACAAAAAATGAAAAAAAGGCCTCAGTCATGAAGGGGTTAATGGTGATCACATGCAGGCTGGAGGAATTTCAGATTAAGTAAAGCCTCTAGATTCATCACCTTAAAGTGCTATTAAAGCCTATTTTTTTTTTCATTTCTCCTTTAAGGAGACCTTCCTTTGCTGGAGGCTGTTGCTCTTTTTCTTTAAAAGTTTCTAATTCCACGTTTTCTAGTGGCTCCCCGCAGCGCTTTTTTTCCCCCACCCCCTGCACGGGTGCCACCATCGTTCTAGTGGAGGCACCCATGCGCGCTCGTGCCTGCTCGTTTTCAGAGTTGCTGTGTGTGTCCATAGACAGAATGCATTAAAGGAGAACTATGAGATGAGTGATTTCCACTCACCTCATAGTTCTAGCCGACCTGTGACAATGAGACAGGTCACAGGTCGGCTCAGTAGATCGGGAGTTGAGAGAACACATACCAGGTTCGCTCACCTCTCCATCCTGTCACGGCTCTCTGCCGTGACAGGGGGAGGGGCTGGATTCCCCTCTCCCCGCTCCGATCTGCCAGCGCTGACTGGCGGAACGGACGGGGGAGGGGGCGGGTACAGCTGGCTCTGCCTCTAGATAGGCAGAGCCAGCTGTCACTCACTCAGCTGGGCGGATCCCGTCATCTACGTCGGGATCCGCTCCGCTTGCGGCGTCTCAGTATACCGCGAGATGTAGCCCGCGGTATACTGAGCCTAGGATGACGGGAGGATGCTAGTTTGTGTCCTCCCGTTACCCTAAGGAGAACTATGGGGAAAAACACTGACCCCATAGTTCTCCTTTAAGGTAAAAAACGCCCAGACCTTAATACTACTTTAATACTAATGGTTTCATATACAATCACAGTATTAAAAATAATTAAAACAACGTACATGTTCTTAAAAACATGTAACATTATTTAGGTAGGCACATTAGTCATAGAATTGTTGGCAAGTCAAAGGGGTGTATTTATCAATGGTTTCACCCAAGATGAATATAAAATTCACGCATGATTTAACTAATTTGCTAATTGAATAGACGTTTGGGGCAAATTGAATCACACTTTATAAGGATTTTATCCTTCTTCTGGATCACCTGTGTGTTTAGGGCTCAAAAGCTGCAAGTTTTAATGTATTTATTTTTGTGTTTTGCTAGAACTTGATAGATGCGTCTTTTTTTAACGTATTTATATGACTGTGTTGGACAACAACGCCTAATATTTTGTTCCTTTTTTCCTGCAAACAGAGGTTCTATGTCATTTTATATAGTGTACGTCATAAACTGTTTCTGGCGTGTTTGAAACATAAAGTGGTGGATTGTATAGAGGAATACAGACCCAAGTTGGGTAGATTTATAAATCAGTTAATGTGACACTCATGGATCATTCACTGCGGTTGTATGTTCCTAGTGTTGAGACAGATTCATGTCACATTCACTTCTTTATTAATATGCCCCATAATGTATACAATAATATAGAAATATAGAAATTAAATAATATATTGACATTATATTATAATACAATATATTGTATATTTCAATTATAATATATTAGTCTACCCTATAGAAATAATTTTATGTAACAAGTATATAAAAATTAAAATAAATGAATTCAGTATCTAAATTCTTTGAGAAGATGTACTTTTAAAAAATATTTCTAAATATTTCAGTCCTTTGTAGAATCTATCTAAACTTTTACTTTAGTTTAGTTCAATTTTTTTTACATTTTATTTTATTTATGTGTATTATTTATGTTTGGCTACTTCTTGAAATTTGACATGTGTTAGTTGGTACATCCTGCCACACTACGAAGGGCTGGATGATAAGAGAGGACCCAGCAAGGTGCCGCAACATAGACACGTTAAAACAAGGGTTGGCAACCAATCGATTGGAATCTACCTGTCGATTGTGGCTGTAATGTGATAGGTGGATCACATTACTTTTGTGCTTCCACCTCCTCACCCCATTTGTCACTTCTAAGACCTCAGAGCTGAGCAGCAATAAGCATTGCAGAACCGAGGGAAGTCCAGGTTTCCTGCTCAGCTCTGTCGTGTCATATGACACAGGGGAGACCTAGCCAGACACCGCTGCATCTGAGGTCTGTAAGTACATTTCAGCAAGGGAGAGAGGAGGGGAATTCGTGCTGGGGGCTATTTTAGCTCAGGGGTATATGTTTATACTGAAAGAGGAATATTTTTGTTCATGAAGAGAGATGTGTGTTTAGTGATACTGACCCCTGCACTGCATTACTTACTTCTGACCCATGCACTTCGTGTTACTTTCTCCTGACCCCTACACTCTGTGTTACTTGCTCCTCACCCTTGCACTCTGAATTACCTACTTCTGACCCCTGCACTCTGTGTTACTTACTCCTGACCACTGCACTCTGTGGCACTCCTGCACTCTACGATCTTTACTTCTGACCCCTGCACTCTGTGAAATTTACTCCTGACCACTGCGCTCTGTGAAACTTACTCCTGGCCCCTACACTATGTGATCTTTACTCCTGACCCCTGCGCTCAGTTTTACATACTACTGACCCCTGAACTCTTCATAACCTTCCTTTCTCTTTATTGGGGCCTTGCTAGATTACTCCTTGGTGATCTTTTCCATGTTTTTCAGGTAGATCCCCACCTCTTGCCTACCCCTGCTGTAAAGCATAACTCCAGCCATATATGTTTTCTTTTATTGATACAGTGGAAAAGGCTTAGCAACTCTCTGTTGCAATTGCTGTTTCTTTAGCCATTGGGGAAATTTCCTGTGTAGTCACTGAGGCAGGAAGTAAGCCAAAACTCACAGTGATATAGCATTGATAAATCATTTTTTACAGCAGAACTCCAATTAACAAAATAAAAATAACAATGAAAATGAGTCTAGTTATAAAAAGAACTGCATAAGAAACCAGAGTTCAGCTTTAAAGAAGAAATCAATTACAAATTGACCCTTGCAGTAGGGCTACCCCCGCACTGCAAGGGTTAACTGCTTGTTTTGGTCTAGGTTATAAAATAAACTACTGTATATAAATAAATATATAAATACATAAACTAATATACTATACAGTATTATACTATACTACACCATACTATAGTCTACTATACTACACTATATTCTACAATACTACACTACACAAGCCGATGCACGGCTGATTTCAGCCGATATACGGCTGAAATTAGCCGTACCAGCCTGAAGTGAATAGCCGAACAGTGTTTGGCTCACTTCACTTGGGGTCGGTTCTTCACTCGGCTGCCCTCGGCAGCTCAGTGAATAGACCCGTATATTATACTATACTACATTACACTTCACTATATTATACTATACTACATTACACTTCACTATATTATACTATACTACATTACACTATACTATACTATATTCTACTTTACTATATTCTACTATACTACACTATATTCTACTATACTACATTATACTATACTATATTCTACTTTACTTTACTATGCTATACTACACTACACTATATTCTACTATACTGCACTATATTATACTATATTACACTACATTATGTTATACTATACTACTCTACACTATACTATACTACACTATATTATACTGTTTTATACTACACTATGCTATACTATTACACTACACTATACTATACTACACTACACTATACTATTACAATACACTATAATATACTACACTATATTATACTGTATTATACTACACTATACTATACTATTACACTATACTATACTATATTATACTACACTAAACAAATCTATACTATTATACTATACTATACTACACTATACCATGCTATACTACACTATATTCTGCTATACTATATTACACTACACTATATTATACTACACTACACTACATTATACTATACTATTACACTACACTACACTTCACTATATTATGCTACACTATATTATACTGTTTTATACTACACTATACTATACTATACTATACTATTACACTATACTATACTATATTATACTACACTAAACAAATCTATACTATTATACTATACTATACTACACTATACAATGCTATACTACACTATATTACACTACACTATATTATACTATACTTCACTATATTATACTACACTACACTACATTATACTATACTATACTATACACTACACTTCACTATATTACACTTTACTATACTTTAACGATTCATACATCATCTTTTCTCCTTGCTGTTTTTGTTGAATAAGTCTTTTTATGAGTAGCTTGAATTTGTTTTTCTCTTTGCATGAAGTCATAGATCATTTTGGATGCGGTTTTTACTTCTTATGGTAATTATTCATCATTCCAAAATACACAAGTGGTATAAGTGATATTTGTGAGAGCTATCACATTTTTTGTAAAAGGGCCAAAATAATAATTCACAAGCTTCTTTATGGAAAATAAGTGTTAACAACTTTCTCAGACAAATATCAAAATGTTTGAGGATCTTGTCAATACTGAGAACATTTAAAGGGAATCTCAAGGCAGATAAAACCCTAATCTAGTAATGTAGTCTTTTAAAAATAATTAGCACAGTGCTGTCCGTATCACATGCTTCAGGCACTGGGGACTGGAAGAGGAGGTGTTTTGGAGAGCCAAAAAGCAGAGGGATCACAGGGAGGAGCTCACCAGGTTGCACTACCAAGGACATGACATGACATAGGGAAGCTGCAACAGAAGTGATGTAACCCTCTGGTAATATAGTAGGGTAAAGGCTTGTTAATCACAAAACAGGCTGAACAGAGTTTCAAACATTTGCCTAGAGAAACAGTTGACACATCTGTATTTCACCTGTGTATTTATCTTTTCGGCTAGGCTTCGGTGGAGTTGTGTGTATTGTCACTGCTGCTCACTTTGTATAATAGTGCGGTACTTTTGTATTAGTTACACAAGGTTTATTTATTACTGGTATTTATATAGCACCGACAATTTACGCAGCGCTTTACATTCACATCCGTTCCTGCCCTCAAGTAGCTTACAATCTAAGGTCCCTATGACATATGCATACAAAGAAGGGCCAATTTAGAAAGGAGCCAATTAACCTTCCAGCATGTCCCTACTTTTGTCAATTGTGTTACTTCCAATCAGCTTTTAACACTGATTCCAAAAAACAAAGTTGGATGGAAATCGGTAAATGTCTTTTTAAGGGGCCCTTAGTTGGATTAGATCAATTTGTACTATTATATTTATTGATTTTGGTCCTGGGAATCAGAACCTGATTGTGGTTGAAAGCTAATTGAAGACTCGATAAATGTCTAGTGTAGGTCCAGCATAATGGATCACAAACAGGTCAGCTTTCCAGACTTTCAGGTGCATGCTCAGCTGTGTTCATATAAGAGTTTATAGGAGGTGCTCTAATCGTGTCTGCGTTCATAATTTCTCATGTTTTGTTTCATTTTCCAGATTGAAGAACGGGCGGAATTCTTAAACAGGTCAAGTCAGAAAAGGTAAGTGATAATAATATTTTTAAAAAGTCGGACCCTCTTGGGCTGAATTACCCACTGGCTTATGTTTCTCAAAGTGATCATGCTGTTTTTTTAATTACAAACTTTGTATGGTTCTGTCTTCCAATCAAAAATTGCATTTTCCATTAATTGAAAGTTTTATCCAGGGCCATCCCTACCCTGTATGGTGCCTAACGCTACATAGAGCGGGGGGGTTTGGGTGGTAACGGTTGCTGCTGATAGAGCTTTCTGGGGAAGGAGGGGCCTGGTGGCGTTGGATGCGGTGGGACAACAAACAGTTGTAAGGCGACAAAGAGCAGTGTCTTTCAGCAGCTCTTTGTCCAGTCTTGCACAGCTCACTGATATCACTGGTTGCCAGGGAGCTTGGTGGGACACCTAGTCAGAGCGTCCTGCTCAGCTCCCTGGCAACCGATGACATATGTGAGTCAGGACTTATGTTCAGGACTGAAAAAATAAAGAAGGGGTAAAGATAAATGAAGAAAAACATATTTCCTCTCCTTTAGTCTTCTTATTATGAAATATTGCATATTAATAATTCATATTTACATTTCCAAACAGAAGGAGGATATTTAGACTCTTGTACAAGTTTTCCTCTGCTCCTTTGTTGTAAAAAAGCTCTGTGTTTACAGAGCTCAATAGCTCGAGCTGAAATTAGATTGTTCTGATGGCCCTGCAGATTTTTACTTAGAGATAGACAGTCTCAAAGGTAGGAACAGTATAATGCTCTGTGAATTTTGTGTCATGGATGCACCCTATTAAATGTTAACGTATGAGATAAAGATTTATTATGTGTATGGTGCCTGAGCTCAAGATGGGGAGTCATTTTAGGTAGCATGAACAACCTATAGGTCCCTTTTAAGCTATGGTATATTCACACCATTGCATGCACGTTGCTTTAAGGCGGCCCAAAGCGAAAAGTGCACCTTTACTATTTTTGTCTAACACACATATCATTCACGCCTGTGCGCTGTGGTGTTCCAAAGGTGAAGTGTTGAGTCATACTGTTAATGAACCTTTGGTGCCATTCATAATAGTAGAAGTAACTCAAATCAAGGAAACAAAGATAATAAGCAAGCAGGATTATAAAGTGTGATGGGAAATAACCAGTAATTATGGTGGTACATTGTAGCTTTAGATAGAGTGTTTGCTTGGTTCTGGTAGAGTTGTTTGTGTTTCCAGTGGGGTGATTTGTCCTCTTTGATTGCCCTGGTGACTGTGATCACCAAGACACGAAGTAAGGGGAAATCCAAAATTTTACAGTTGTCACAAGAAGTGGAGGTGAGGGTATATCTTATAATGGGGACCCCTGCTCTTGTGACAACTATCTAAGAGGGAACTTACACTCACTTTTTAGTGAAGCAGAACGCTCTTCTAAGTGGATACAGGCAGCAAAAAATAGATGGTTTGAACTATGCCTACTGAAAGATTACGGTTTTGGCTATACATATACTTATAAAAGAAGCTCAGCTCTGGAACCTGTGCCATAAAAAGTAAGTAGAGGGCAAAGGACAAGTCACCAGTATTGCCTGTTGTCCCCCTACAGCTGATCTTTCCCCCATTACTCATTTACCATAATGTGTTCTGCACAGCATCTCTGTATAGAGGGGGCCATCTTGGTAAAGGCAGGGCTTTGCTTCCTCATGTCAGAGCCTCCAGCAAGGAGAACAGTGTGCAGCACAGTAGTGACTTCACCAAATCTCACTCCAGACCTCCTGAGACTGGCAGCCAGAGGCAGTAGTGCCTTAGATCTCACACTGCAGATATACAGCTATGAGGCTGTAGGTACAGGATTGCCTAGGCACACTCAATATACACAGAAGTATCCTGCTACCGGTATTTTACTGGAGGAATTCCAGGAAAAATGTACGTTTTCAGAGTACTGCTCAGACGCAAATAACATTTCTAACTTTTTCCTCTAAATCCTTACTTTTTGACTTAATTTCCACTTAAAGTGCCTTCATAGTGCTTAGATTTAATGGAGGGCTTTCCCAAACACTTTCAGTAAAACTCGCAGCTGCAGAAAGTCTTCTGACATCAATGCTGTAGAGTCCATTTTCTAAAGCGATTGTCTGTGATCTCCACCTTAATTGTTCTGCAGCTTTCCAACAACTTCCTCCATTCCCATCTTTTAACAGAATCCATTCTGTTCTCAGGCAAACCACTCATTAAAAAGTCACAAGCCTCCTAAAACGAAAGCTTTGTTCCATGATTAAAGCAGTGCACGCACTTCCCAGAGCCTCAGACATCCATCTGTAATTTGTGATGTTATCAGTGATGCTGGAAGTCAGAGGAAGTGGGAGACTTATGTTACCGATCATTACCGTGTAACATTAGTCATCATTTTCCTGGAACCGCAAACTCTGCCCTTGTCTGTCTTCGGCTGTCATTCTACAATGTCACCAGCAGAGGGCAGTCTTCCCAGAGAAGCAGGAACACCTAAACTGTAACACTTCATATAAATATTAGTGTGAGATCATAGCAGATGTTATATCCAAGTGACAGATATGTTACAAACTGTGCAGAAACATATAAAAAAAACTTGTTTGCTGTTTGTAGTTTTATAGGCAGGTGTTCATATGGATATAGTTGACGTACTTTAGACAACAGTTTTCCTGGCTATAAAAAGCTTATTTTGGATTTATAAGTTGATGTATAAGCAGAACTATTTCCTCTGCAAGTGTGAACACGTTTTACTGCATAGATAGGCTGTCTAGACGTTAAAGGGGCACCTTATGTTCAAATGATGCCGGTGTGCTGAAACTACCATATTGCTTTATAGGCTATAAATAAAATTAAAGTAGACCTAAACCCAATTGCAAAAATCTCATATAAGTTTTAATGAAGCGCTCTGGGCAAAATTGTTATTAACCCTTGCATTGGGGTTACCCCCGCACTGTAAGGGTTAACTGCTCATTTTGGTCTAGGTAGGAAAATAACACAGTTATACTCACCCGATTCTCCAGGCTAGACGGCTGTGACAGCGCTCCCTCCAGCCTGTCTTTTCCTCCGCAGCAGCAATGGAATGTCCCTCAGCTTCTTCACATCTTATACACTATGTATAGAACGTGATGACTCAGGGACCATAGAGGGGGAGCGAGGTGGAAGGGACCAGTCTAAAGGTGCCCATACACCTTACAAAAATCGTAAGATCTTTGTCTTGCGATGGTTGTAAGCTAATTAAAAGCTCATACGATCTGCCCATCTTGGACAGGCAGATCGTCCTTGCGATCATCGAAAGCCCGCCCCTCTGAGGGGCGGGCTTCCGATGACTACAATGCTGAGCGGGCAGTGTGCGCTTGCGCACACCGGCCCGTTCGGCATTTGTCTCCTGAGAACGGCACAAACCCGCCGACAATCGTACGATTCTCGGCTAGTTTTCAAGCTGCACGGGAGACAAAAGATGTGCGACCGTACAGTAGAAACGGTCGCACACCTTCCATACACCTTGCGATTATCGTACGATCGCCGGATTTCCCACGATTATCGTACGATAATCGCAAGGTGTATGGGCACCTTAAGAGCAAGCCAGCTCGGAAAATTGGGTGAGTATAACTTTTTTAATTTCCTCCCTAGACCAAAACAAGCACTTAACCCTTGCAGTGCAGCCCCACTCCAAGGGTTAACACAAATTCTTCTTTAACAGGTTAAAATGTATGTAAAGCCAAAACAGTTTTTTCTGTTTAGATAGAGCAGGGGAGGGTTAGAGCACCTATTAGGTTATTTTGTGCTGGCTCTGTCTGGCTGGGGAGATTCCCTTCATCTCCTGTTCTTCAGATCCAACAGGAAATCTCTACAAAGTAAAAGGATTTGCCATCTTAGAGAGTTGTTAATGGAATAGGTGTCCCCATTGGAGGATTTTCCCTCACTTGCTCTGCTGACAACTCCTCCTCTTACTTTCTGTGTTGATGACAATGGTCATCGGGACAAATAAAGGGGTGAATCTCTCCAGCTGGGATACAGAGAGAAATAAAAACCTGCTAAAGGCTCTAACCCTTCCCCACTCTATCCAAATCTAAAAAAAACATACACTTTAATGTCATATCAAGTTTTCAAACATTTTAAATACAGAGCTTTCAATTAAATAATATGTGGTAACAATTCCAACTATGAGTGAAGTTTCAGAAATGCCACACAGCTTTCCTGCATTGTCAGACTGTCACATATGCTCCTGGTGGAGGCTTTAAGTGACCATGCTGGCACACATTGTAGAAGTATGGTCCACCATTGTCATTATCAGGAAGCTGGTCCAGAGCAATAATGTGCAGCCAATGCTGGAGCAAGTGAAGGTAGACAGGAAGTGGCTGAAAGAGGCCAAAGGAGCTCAGCAACACTGAGATATACGGTAAAAAGATATTACAAATGTGCGAACAGTGTTTTATGGAAAAATAAAACAAACAATCGTTTATAATACACGGTGCTTTTGATAATGAAATGGCATCTAGTAAAGGTTGTACAAAATAAATTAGACTGTCCAATGTTTTATTCTAAAGCAATAAAAATCACTCACCAGAACAATCAGACCCATTTAGGCTGCTTAATGAGACCTACATGGATGACCAGTGAGGTTTTTGTCCTGATAAACCCTCTGAATGAAGCTCTCAATCTCCTATCAATGTATGTGTTTGTTTTGTAGGATGACTGCTGTAGGTGTCCTGTTCCTTATTTGAAATGTCTAATCATTTTATACGTTTAATTTCTTCATTTTCGTAAAAAAAAATTTCTGCAGTGTTAAGTCTGGGCAACCAGCTGTGGTGTCAAAGATCGACAGTCGACTTGAGCAATACACCAGTGCAATCGGAGTAAGTATGGTATGATATACTGTATTAAAGGGTCAGTCTACCAAAAAGTACCGCTTTAGTGATAGGTGAAGCTTGGTGGGCTGATCCAGCCGCTGGCTTCTTAGGTGCTTTGGATACACCATCGGTGAGATCTTCCTGCCATATTTCTAGGTTCTATTCCGGTCCACCAGAGCGTTTTGGGTGTTTCCACTCACTTTTATGTGTCTCAGCTAGTCCTTTTGCAATAACATAAAATAAATATATCCAGCAGGAAGAGTGGGAGCACAGTGAGCCCACATAATGGGCACAGTGAGTGTGCAGACCTGGGAATTTCACGGCTCACTAATAGAGTGCTTGAGAGATCCTTTTTAAGCTGACCCCTGTGGAAGTTCCAGACAACCTTTGCAGTGGGGCTCCCCCTTGCTCTTCAAGGGTTTTATACTTGTTTTTGCCCAGGTACATTTAATTACAGTTTTACTTACCCATCCCTCGCTTCTGCAGGCGTCCTCCTCTCCGTGTTATTGGTCCCCTAAAGCCACTTTTCTTTGGCACTCTGCCAGTCACAGGTACAGTGAACTCATCACGTTCAATGCAGGACCTGAGTGAGCCCACCCACAACGTCGGAGGGAAGAGGAGATCAAATAGTAATCAGGGGGAGGAGGAGATCAAATAGTTATCAGCAAAGAAATACGTTTTATTGAACCATCGTCACCATTTGTCATATATAGCCAAAGTTTTGGGGCCATGTAGAGTCCCTTCCGCGGGATGACATAGGGTCATAGCTGTCAATTGTCAAGGGAACAGCGACACCTAGTGGTTGATTTACTAACGACAAATAAGCTGTTCACTTGGCAATGGAATTTTTCCTTAGATTAATGAATATTGTGAAACTCTGTTGACTTCCATTATCCATTCATGTGCAAGCAAAAATACTGTTTTCTTTAAATTTTCTTTGCACTAGAATTGGGTATTCTTTATAAAGTGAACTTTCAGCGCGTTCACTAAGCTAAGGGGAAATTCCTTGGCAAAGTGATTCAACCCCTTAGAGCAGGGGTAGCCAAACTACGGCCCTCCAGCTGTGGTGGAACTACAAATCCCATGAGGCATTGCAAGATTCTCACAGCCACAGACATGACTCCCGGAGAGAGATGTATCATGGGATTTGTAGTTTCACCACAGCTGGAGGGCCGGAGTTTGGCTACCCCTGCCTTAGAGTCTATGGCAGGTTTTAACATAAACATTCAAAAAAGCAGATGTACTCTGTAAAACAGTGTTACAGTCCCAGGAATTACTATTCAATTTCCTAGATAGATGAAAGTTTTCACAATCTTCCACGTGATTGCAGTTCAGAGAAAAGATTTGGGAAGGGAGAGTCAGGCAGGCACTGCTCTGTTTCCGGCTTCACCATATTCTGAGCTCTTGCAATATGAAAGGAACAAACACTTCCTTTTTTTAAACAAAGTACCCCTCCTCTTCTTATTGAAAGCCACTGAGACCAGGCTGCCATGCTCATATGGTGTGTAGTACTGGTCAGGTGCTTCAAGCAGGATACCCCAAACAATATGGATCCTTCCTTTAAATAGGCGCAGTATTGGAAATCTGATTTTAGTGTGATAATAACACATTAACAAAAAATGAAGGCATAACTTGCTGACTTTTATATAATTATCCTAAAAATAGGAACATTTCTCTTTAACCCCTTTATAAATAAGTCCAATAATGTATAAAACATTTAAGCTGTCAAAACAGAAAAGTCATCTGAAACCATTTGTACTAATGTACTATGAACTCCATTTCCAGAACAACAAAAGTGCCAAACCTGCCAAAGCTGCTCCGTCAGACCTGCCACTGCCAGCAGAAGGTGTTCGTAATATCAAAAGTATGTGGGAGAAAGGCAACGTTTTCTCATCCCCGGGGGGTGTAACGTCACCAAACAAGGTATGTACAGTGTGTAACCTACAGAGTGAATATGTAATTATAGAGTTCAAGTCTTTCCAGTGAAGGGTATTGTTAATCCTACAGCATACAATGTCCATTCCCTGATCTCTGACCCGCTGAATGAAACTGGAAGCGACGATGATTTCTGAGATGTCAGTTCCCAGCTAGAGAGGCCTGTGAAGAAGCTGATCAAGCTCAATCTGTGCTTGATCAGCTTCAATGGGCTGCAAAGATGACATCTAATAGACCCCTAATGTCTCCTTAAAGAGCAGCTGTCATAACTAAAGTGCTATTACGGCTTGTGAGCCCCCATGTCATAGGAATGAAGTGAAGTAAAAAAATAAAAGGTTAAAAAGTAAAGTTAAAAAGATAAATTTAAAAAGACCCCCAAAAAAACACACACACACACCTACTAATGCAAACAGGATTGTGCCACACATGTTAGATATCACCGCGTGCGCCAGAGTGAGAGCAATAATTTAAGGGCCAATATTCACGGTTAACTCTAAACTGATGACCTGTACAGTTTTTAAAATCGTCGCCTATGGACAATTTGGGTCACTATATTTTTTCGCCGTTTCAGGGGGCGAGCAATTTTTAACCTTGGCATGTTGGGTATCTATTTCCTCAGCACAAACTCATCTTTTATATTTTACAAAACAATTGCGTATTATGTTGTGTTTTTGTGCACTAACGATTTAATTTTAATTGAAATTTTGGGCTTGATAAAGAGTTGCGCTAATATCCTGCAACATAAAAATTTGCAACTGCTGCCATTTTTTGCTACTTTTAGGAAACATATAGTTCTGGGGGGAGGGGCTTAAGTAATTCTCAAGTCTAAAATGTGGATTTTTAACATGTGTGCAAAAACCACAAATACGGCTCTGGCAGTGAAAGGGTTAAGGGCGAGAGGGGCGACTTCATATTACCAGACATTGTTTTGGAATGGGATGTCTAACAAGCTCTTAGGCAGTATATGATTTTTTTTATATATATATATATATACATAAATGTGTATTTAGAAATGATTTTATTTACCCCAAAGCTAGTGTACTGTATACTTTTCTCATTGATTCCTTTATGGTTCCAGGAAACAGCTGGATTAAAAGTGGGCGTTTCCAGTCGTATTAATGAATGGCTAACTAAAACTCCAGAGACCAACAAGACGCCTTCAGCAAAGCCTGCAGTAAGTTGAAGATCACATTTCCTTTTCAAAATGTACCATTAACGGGGTTGTGACAGGTTGTCAGCATAAAAGCAACCGAGAACAGAGTATTTAGGAACCCGGGCAGCAACAGGGCATGCGTTGCAGTGAAGCTCTGGGAGAATCAAAGACAGAATGAAATGAACATGCTGTGTATATAATCTGTTCCCACTGCAGCTTCCACTCTTTTGGTTGCCCTCTATGTGACTTTCATCTCTGCACAGACTGCAACTGCAGCGCTATAGCCACCCTTTGACTGCCACTGTGAGTTTGTTGCAATAGATCAGTGCATTTGGCAAATATAAGAGGATAATAACTTAATGACTGACAGGTGAGAAGAGCTCTGTAGAGGGTGATAAAATGAGCTCCAGCCAGTAAAATGTGTTTCTCAGTCCATAGTGTTTATCCTTAGCTGTCCACTGAAAGCATTTATATATTTATAATGTACAATTCTTGCACTAGTAAAAGGCAGTGGCATGCCATGTGATTTGCCATTTTTATGGAGCATAAAGTGGAACTATGGGCAATATACTGTATAATGCCGTCTGTCACTGGCAATTTTCGTTTTTCTGATCCCCACCTTCCCGGTCACAGAGGTTTATTAGTTGTTAACTCTGTCAGTAGATCGGTTATTTTTCTACTTCTATCAGGCTAAGTTGACACCTAGGCGGATTTAGCCGCGCAGTATCACACACAACAGAGATTTGCATTCAAGTCTATGGAAGCTGTTCACACCTTTGCGAATTTGTTGCGCGGTAGAAATCGCCTGTCATGCAAAAAGGTGCAGGAGCTACTTTCGGGCAGCTGTCGTGCGGTTTGGGTACCATAGACATCTCTATACATTGAAAACCTCGCAAACAACCGCACAGTTTTCAAAGCAGAATTGCGCAAACAAAAAAGTGTGACAACCGCATGAAAACAGCTCGCCAGCTCAATCGCCTACGTGTGAACCTAGCCTCAAGGGCTTGTGCAGACATGGGCGATCCGGGGCGCGTGTCCCGGGACAACGCGATTGTGCACAATTGCACACAATGATTGCTGTGCGGCCCTATTCATTTCAATAGGGTTACACCCGCGCAGCAATCGCAGATGTACCTTTTTTTGCGACACGCGACCCGCTGCTGTTTTAGCCACGATTGTGTTCGGTCGCGTCGGGTAACTGCGCGATCCGCCTGGCGTGACTCGGGTGCCCTTAGAAAATAATGGCACTGCCAGCGCGATCGGCGGTGGTGGGCGACTCTGTGACCACACTTCAATCTGCGCTGTATCGTGCATGATTGCCCCACAGTCACTCACGGATCGCCCAGGTGTGAACCTGGTCTAACAGGGAGACATTGCTGTGTGTTCTGCGGTGAAACAGATATTCAGCTTTAAGTAATATTGTGTCTATGGAAACCAGCCAAATGATTTGTCTGTAGCAAGGTAGAAGCTGAAAGCTGACTGAAGATACCCATACATTTGGGATATTACTAAACAGCATGGATGGAGGAGTCTCCCCTTGTAGCTGTTGTATTCTGATGGACAGCACCCGCAGTTACTTGAACAGTGACTGCAACTGATGGGCTGCAGTCACAGTTCTGCCACCCGGCTCCTTCTGAATTTTGGCTGATTCAGCAGGAAACCAAGGAAAGCCAAGATTTGATTCATGTTTGGCCAGCTTTAGATTGCCTGCTGTCATACACTGCTCTTTCCCTTTCCTGTAGTATATATCAGTATATATATGTATAGATCAGTCTTTTTATGTATTTTTTTCCAGTTTCTTGTCTGTATTTTAACACCTTTTATCTTTTTCTTGCTCTCGGTCAGCCGATTTTCTTTCCTTACTCGTCTGTCCATCAGCCTACTGAAGAGATCTCCTCTCTGATGTCTTCTCTCCTTCCTCCTTCTTTCCTTTTTGGATTATGATCTTTTCATTGTGGTGAGAAGGTAATATTGTTAGTATAACGGCAAACACAAACATTCTTATTTCATAACTAACATACAGATCACAAGACTTATTTGTAAACACATTGACACCCTAAAAGTTCTGATTGTGTATTTTGAAGTGTTTACTAGTCCCATTAATCCACCATATAATGAAGATGAACTGAGGCAGACGTGTATAACAACCATGGCTACCCACCATAGATACATTGGAGAAAAATGTGCAGACGTGAAAGGACTGGAAGTGTGTTATTCATCACCTGGTCAAAATAAAGGGACAAAAAAAAAAGAAAACTAATGCAGCCACCACATCTAAGGACTGGCAGGATGCAATATATTACTTTTGTGTTTTTGTGTTTTGATTTGCTTTAAAACAGATGTGGGTCTACACCAACCTGACACCACTTAGTGCATTATAATGCTCCTAGAACACGGCAGCATTGGAGCATTCACAAGACTATCTGGTAATCAGTCAGTGAAGTGGAACATTCACAGCCATAGGACCACATGTAACATTTCAGAGAATTAGAATTTGACAATTGTAGACCAGAATCCAGCCAATCAGAGCATTACAACATGTTTGATTCATACAGACCAACATTTGAAAATGGACTGTAGACACCTTTGCTGTTTTATACTTGTGCAGAAATGTTGAGACTGTCATAAAATCATATGAGCACCAGATATAATATATGAGAAGCAGGTTTATAGTCATAGACTTTTTCTGTAAGCTTTTATTTTTATTGTGTGTTCATTTTCAGGATTTAAGACCCGGCGACGTATCTGGTAAAAGGAACATCTGGGAGAAACAGCCGACAGATAAGGCTTCCACACCCTCAAAGGTCAGCTCAGCACCCCTCTCCAAGTGTACATTTTTTATGGCGACACTAAACTCTGGAGTTAAATCACTTAGCTGTAGATCCTCAAGTCATCTCTGTCCTTTCTTCTGGAGGGTGGCTACTTTTGTTCCCAATGGTCCCTGTGTGTGTTGTAAAGTAGTCACCGATCCAAGCTTGCTCCCATGATGGACTACAATCTCATGTTTAGTTTTCTAATTTGTGTTGAGATTGTAGTCCATCACAGGAGTGAACTTGGAACGGTGGCTACCTTACAACACACATAGGGACCATGAGGAACAAAATTAGTCACCCTCCAGAAGGAAGGACAGTGTCAGCACCAATTCAGAGATGATTTGAGGATCTTCAGCCGAGTGATACACAAATAAGATACATTTTTGTTAATAGGGTGCTTGAATGCATTTTCAAGATTTAACTGCTGAGTTTATTGACACTTTAAATAGAACCAGTAAGCAATGGGTATCTAGGAATCTGAATCTACAGTTTTAAGTTGTAATAAGAAAGCAGCATATGTTCTTGAGGAGGGCTGTGTGTGCTGGTACTTAGTTGTATTCTCTCCCAGGCAGAGCATACGGTAGATGTCAACTCAGTTTCAGGCTTTCAGGTCACCATTGAGGTGGGCAGCTCTTGGCCTGATCTCAGGGCTGACAACTGACATTATGTATGGGCTGATGCTATAGGGTCAAACGTCCAATGAACAAAGCCTTTCGTTTTCTTTCATTTTAGCACCTTTTTTTATATGACCATTTGTAAGTGTCTGTTATCGGTACTGGACTCAGACAGGAGATATGACGGCCTCACAGCCTAAAGCTAGGAAAGCTGGATTTCCGCTTGTCTACCCGCAGGCTGAGCAAAAGAAAATCACTTGGTCCCTCATTGCTAAACAGCATAGATGTAGGAATCTCCATTGCCGACTATTGTATATAGACCGCCGAGGCACCTGCGGCATTCAGTCACTGTTTGGCTGAGAATTTTCACCTGGCTCAGTCAATTTTTAAATTGACTTATGTGGAGCTGGTGGTGCTGACAGGGCCACCAAAGACTCAAATTTCAGTTGATTCAGGCGGAATCAGGCAAAATGTGAGACGTGTGTGCAAAGCTGTCCTTAATGAGGCAGCCTGAGGCTGTTGCCTCATATGGCACCTTTTTAGGTCACGTGGGGGGGGGCAGCAGGCAAAGCGGCATGGCTGCTCTGCTGCACAATGTTTCATTGTGCATGCCCCCCCTCATCCAGCCAGAGCTGAGTGGTGTCATCCCTGTTTTCTTGTGCCAAACTACTCAGACCCTCCCACTCTCCCATGAGCAAAACATAAAGGTTAATCATTCTGTAGTCCCAAAATAGGGAGGCCTAATAACATACACTGAGATAACACAGTAGGTGAACACTGGACATAGGACAACTCTGAGCCCTTTCAGTTATATTATACTACACTTGTATATGTATCAAACCAAAAGAGAACATATAAGAGAAGTTCATTGTTAGGGTATAAATACGTCTTACGTGAAATACATCCAACATGTTCCAGGGGCTTAGGGAGAAATGAAATGAGGATTCTGATTGTTCGCTGTGGACGGCAACACGTTTTCATTTCCATTTCTCAAGTTTTATTACATTAAACCCACTTTGTAAGCTTGTCTCTGTTTTCTTTTCCTTAACTGATTTCTTTATTGCAATTTTAGGTGACAGCTGGAGGGAAAAAGTCTGACACCAATGGTGGGTAATATGTTCTTCTTTTAGTTCCACCTTCATCACACATCTTACAATATCTTACCAATAATGTAGCTTGAGCAAGAAATAGTTAAATCCCAGATAAAGTTGTAGAAATAGATATTCAGGTGGAGCTACGCACTGGACTAACAGCCTCCGTTTTCACAGTTTTGTGTCCATTTTTCTGGTACAGCCGTATTGCAGTCTCTGTGCAATCTGAGCTAGTGCACTCAGTACGTATTTCACACTACACTGGTCAGACACGCCCCTCCTCTTCTCTGTGTGAGGACGCTTTTCCTGTGTGAGGTGTGGCTGCTACTCAGCTCCACCAGCACAGAGCACTGCACTGTGAGGCATTAGAATCTGTCACAATTCATAACATCCTGTGGGACAGAACTAATAAAAAGTAAAACAGTGAGACTTTAAATGCATTCAATCTTAAAAATACTTTCAAGTACCTTAACTATTAACAATACTGGATAATAATTTGTGTATCACTGGGCTGTAGATCCTCAAATCATCTCTGAATTGGTGCTGACACTGTCCTTCCTTCTGGAGGGTGGATACTTTTGTTCCCCATGATCCTTGTGTGTGTGTAGAGTTGCCACCGCTCCAAGCTCATGTTTAGTTTACTAATTTGTATTGAGATTGTAGTCCATCAGAGGAGCGAGCTTGGAGAGGTGACTACTTTACAACACACACAGGGACAATGGGGAATACAAGTAGCCACCCTCCAGAAGGAAGGACAGTGTCAGCACCAATCCAGAGATGATTGGATGATCTACAGCCAAGTGATACACAAATAAGAGACATTTTTGTTAATAGTTCGGGTACTTGAATGTATTTTTAAGATTGACCTCCTGAGTTTAGTGTCACTATAAGCTCTTCAATTGTATGATTGCATTACTTGTAGCACCACCTACTGCTAACTCTTAGTTTGCCACTTGTCCTAAAATGTATATTGCTTCTCTACAGCCAGGTTAATCTATAGAGACAACCCTTAGTTTATATAAAACATAAATACCGTGAAACGTTGGCCCCTCTATCATTTACATGGTGGCTTTGATGGGCGGGGACTATTCTGTGCTACTCCATGCAGACACCTGAAAGTTTTAGGAGGAAGATTTTATTTTATGGAAAATTCCTGTTGGCCAAAGTAAGAAACATTTTAATGTTTAAATCTTGTTCTCTTTTCTGTGCAGGATTAAGATTTGAAAAGGAGCCATAGGAAGCCTTCCAAAGCAACCAGACCAACTCAGATAAAGTGCTAAACTGTCCTTTTTTATATTTATGTTTACTTACCAAAAATGTGTTTCTCATTATGCTGAATACAACCATGTATATTAGCATTGTATTTAATGCCCACCCTCCTCAAACTGCTAGAAATTCAGGAGACTACAGTACTGCCTTTGCACAAGTTCTTAAAGGAATTGTCCAATCAGCTGCAGATTTATCGAACTTCCAGCAAGTTCTCACCTTGAAACAAAAGGTTGTCCCCTGACTACAGTTTCCATGGTACGATTGGCAGAACACCTCTCCTACTTCCTCACTATTTTGTGATCGACTCGGGTGAAACGGGCAGTCATAAATCAGAAATCTCTGTGAATTGCACCATTAAAACATGTGACCCCTATGCCATAACAGTTTCCATATACAGCTTAGCCAGAAGCCTTTTCAAATCTGTGACTAGCTGGAGAATCCTTTTAAGAGAAGCAGCTGTGAATCAAATATACTTCTACTGATACTTCTTGCTTTCATATATCACAAGGTCATGATTCATCGAGAAAGGCAGTTCCCATGAGACTATGCACCAATAGAATTATGCTGCACTTTAGAGTAGAACACAGTTTAATAGTTTATGCGTAACAACCAATGTCTGGTAAGATATTACTGATTAGCTCAAATTATAATTTTTATTATTATTTTGTTTTACTTTTAAAAACTACTTTAAATATCAACCTTTTCACTTTGTTACAGGTAAAGCCAATTTTTTTTGGTCCGTATTAGTCAACTTTTTGGTACTTTTATGGTTGACCGTATAGTGTTATAGTCCAACAACTGCAGTTTTAAACACACATAGCTTTTAAACCTTACAGCACTATTAAACGCAAAACGCTTTTTATATGTGCTAGAATATACAGTATTTAGAGATTTTCTTTTCTTTTTTCTTTTCTTTTTTTTTTTAACATAATAGCCATTATCACTGCTTTTGTTAATTCACTCTAGCTTAGGAAAATTTTGTCATTCACAGAATAAAAAACCAAAAAAATGTAAGCCCAAATTATCAGTATAAAATGGTATAAAAGTAATTCTTAAGGCCCAATTGAACCTTCAGTTCAAATTAGCTAAATACATTTTGGGTGCATGGAAATAAAAGGGGTGCAGCGTGTTTTCTTTTGAAGGTAGCCACAGCATGAATAGAAAAGCCTGCCCCTGCCAGCATGCTGTAAAGAAAGAATTTGCCTTCTGGGTGAAAGCAGTGGTCTCTCTGCAGAGTATTTCCCTTCAGTGCAGGCGTCTCTGCTGACCCTAATTCTTCAGCTCATCTCTCCAACATCTCTATGCAGAGGTTTGACACACTCCCTGCTAAACCCGACCATTAGCTCTGCAATCCGCAAAGCTCATGCTCCCTGCCAATTGTAGAGCTTCAGCTTTGACTTAGCAGTAGAAGTGTTGGACCTCTTGAGTGAGACCACTGCTTCCACACAGAACATGAGACCACTGCTTCCACACAGAGCGCAGGAGTCCTTCTCTGCGGCATGCTGGCAGGGAACAGGCTTTTCTACTCAGGCTGTGGCTTCTTATTATACAAAATAAACTTTATGACCTTGCACATCTTCTGTTTCCATGCATGGAATGCATTTAGATGATTTACACTGAGAGTTGAGTGGAGCTTTTATGAGGCTTACTAAATTAGTTTGAATTTGCGAATAAACGACAAAATTAACAATGGCAATAATTAATTTATAAACAGAAATTTTATTATTTTTTACAAAATGACAAAATTCAACATCCTGCCAATGGAATTACAATATTCAGTTCAATATATATGTATTTGTTTTTTTAATTCTAGTCTTTTTTTTTAGTCCATTCCAAAGATGTCGACAGGCAGGTTTCATTGTATATGTATATAGTTAACCTTGGCACCATCGCTGCAAAAAATTGAAATTTTCACTTTACAGACAGTGTGGGGTTATAAGCCAGGTGGTGTTTTATTAGGTAACATTCTGTACTTCTTATGCCATTTTAATTGTTACATCGTAATATACGGGGAAAAAAAATTCACACTGTTTTGCTATTCCGAAGATTAGTATCACCGCTTTGCTGAAAATTGTACTCTTTAGTAATAATTCAGATGTTTACTTACAAGATGCAAATGCACTTGGTTACATGTGGGATGTCAGCCTGCACAGCTGCCTTGTATTGTCCGCAAAGCTGTCATCTGTGATCATTTCAGCCGCATAGAAAAATCTGTTTCAACAATGTATTATGAAACTGCAACCACAATAAATTGATAAATCTCATTTGGTGTCTCTTTTCTGGAGGTTATGGTGGAGGGATGGGGGGAGGATTGGGGTAAGAAACATCTTTTCCACAGGCAGATTTTTAAAAAGGACCAAAGAATGCAATTATTTATTTGTAAAAATATATTGTGTTTCAAGTAGTATAAATACCTGAATTTAACTCGAATTCAACCTCTTGTAATCTCCTGAACAAAAGAAGATAACAGATAAAACTTTTATTTCAATGAAGCAACAAGTAGAAAATGTGCGTTACCAGCTAAATAACACATTTTGATCTGCTATGTCTTTTTTATGTTATACAGCTGGAAATGCACATTTTTTACTTGTGCATGGATTTTAGTGTGGAAATAGCAGACATCACAACCTGCAAAACCTTATTTCAGGGAGGTTCCCGTCTCATTTCAGGGAGGTTCCCTTTCTTTTTTTATTTTTTCTTTTTTTACAGCTGCCGTCGTCAGAATATAAAAGAAATAATAATGATAATAATTTTTATATATATATTGTGGGGGTATAGCTCGAATGGGGGAAAAACAGTCCAGGCAGCAAAGTTCTTTTTCTCTCTGAACACATCCAACATGTAGCTCTCTCAGAAGGCTGTCTGAGTCCCAGGCCAGAGCAAAACCGTGTCTCAGCCTTCCCCTTTTATCTCACCTGGACAAGCATTCATCAAGCAATCAACTATCCAGGTGAGACCCAAAGCCCGAGCTGGACTATCCGGACCCAAAGTCAAAGCGAAACCCTGGTCAGGGTTCCGCTATTCATGCACATAGGATAGAAAGCGAGGGGAAACATACCGCCCCTCAATGATGTCCCCTCTCCTTATGTCACAATATATATATATACTCATATTTGTGAATTGATATTCAAGTATCTGTCAGTGTAAAGGTCACAATTTATTAGACAGCCCAAGACCTTTTTTAAAAAATGCTGAGTAAAGTCCCTGATACACAGTTGACTAGCTGCTATGGGCAGCAAATGAAATAAATGTTCTCTATAACTAGACAACCAGGACATATAATTGATTCTATATTATCCACAAAGGGTTAACAGCACTCTCTCAACCCTGCAGCAGTGCCTGTACCTGCTCTCAATAGTAGTCTATGTCCGCCCTCTCTGTGCAGCAAGTAGCTTCTTCCTTCTGAGAGCCAAGCCTCGTTCTGAGGCTACTCTAGAGATCACATGACCTTCCTCCAGGAGGCAAGCCTCACTCTGAAATCTTACCCACTGATATCTTACCAGAAAAGCTTACTCAGAATAAACATTTCAGGGAGAAAATGCCTCTCTCGCAGACGTCAGGGAGCCGCTATCTAATAGAGGGAGACTCCCTGAACATCAGGGAGACTTGAGATCCCTGAAATAGAAATAAAGGTAAAGTGTTATCTGCTGGGTTTGGGATGTACTGATAATTTTGCTTCTCTGATTATGTACCACGTAGGGAGTGCACTAATTGTGCAGTCACAGAGTGAATTCATGTTGAGCAAATTGGGGTGAGATGGCCTTTGTATGTATCCTGTAAAACAGACTTGAAGAGGGAGGGGCAGTGCTTCGGGCCTATCAGGTGTGCTGGATGCACATTTGCTGACAAAGAACCTGCTGACAGGTAGAGCAAGCTGAGGGATGGCCTTGTGGCTGTGCCTGAGGCAGTGATTTTTGCAGCCACCACCATGCATCCCGGAGACTGAACATACACAGGGTTGATCATGCAATGAGGATGGAGTGTCTGGGATGGACACTCTGGCTTCAGTGCTGCCCCCCCCCCTCCCCCCACTGTGCCTCCATGAGTGCCGCTTGAGGCGGCCACCTACTTTGGTCTCATGGGTGGCAGCGCCCTGACCTTATCAATCTGTTGCTGCTTCTAGATATGTTACTACTACAGAAAACAGTAATGAAGTAGCAGCCGGTGAAAGGAACCACATAAGGTATACAACAAACCAGGAAGTGTCGAACAGCAGCAGCAGCTGGAGCTCAATGATCAAAGAGTCCCAGGTCAGGGCTGGCATTGTTTGGAACAAGAACGGGTTCATGATAGTTTAAAGTAGCTTCCATAACGCTCAGGATCCATTTCACAACCTACTGAACCCTTAAAAAAACCACATTGATTTCACCTTCCCTATTGACTCCAATGCATTTTACAAAACCAGGTATTGCCTTCACGGTCAATCGATATTCAAAATCAATCATATAACCAGTTAAGACATTATTTCTTCATTTGATCTGTCAGTACCTACTTTAATTTCTCTGATATTAAGCACAGACTGTACATAGGATCTATATGAAATGAATGATCAATAACATTCTTTACAGTGGACCAATGTGTCTCAGTCAAAAACAGTTGATTCCTTTAGGTGCAGGCTGTATGTTTATGTGATTACAACTCTGTGGTCCCTCATTTGTACCTTTCTCCCCCTTCCCCTTTATTCTAAATTCAAGGTCAGGAACTCAATATTGTGTTGATGAATTACTGCTGTGTTTTGCAAATGTCTGATATTTTCTGGATTTAAAAAAAGAGAACTGTTTGGTCCCAATGATGGAATGATCATATCAGTTTGTGTATGTCCACCAAAGGAATGGCAGGTAACAGTTGCCACACTATAACTAATGTAGAGCTACATTTGCCAGTATCTCTTGAAGGGCTTGCTACTAATATATAGCTCCTGTATTCTGTTATGTGCAAATTTAAAGATTATCTCCACTTTTGTTGAGAACAAATCAATCCTCTCTGGGTGATCAATGTACAAATGTACATTCCAAAGGATTTTAACAAACCTTGTCCTGAATGTAAGGGTCGGGTTTATTATAATCAGCTGGTGAACTTCCTGTGTTCTGATGAGGAACGTTGCAGTGTCGGCATCGCTTTATTAGAAGTTAACCCTTAGGGAGTAGACATGTGCACTGCCAAAAAATTCGTTTAGTTTCGTTTCGTTTTAAATTCGGATATGTGTTATTTCGTTTTTCAGGATTCGGGTGTGAAAGTCAATTCGGATTCGGAATTCGGATTCGGACGAAATTCGGTAGCGTTAGTACGAACGTTCATTTCGTTTTCTGTTCTTATTCGTTTCTTATTCGTTTCTTATTCGTTTCGTTCGTTTGCAGCAAAAGTGATATTTGAGGGGGGGGAAATATTTTTCTCCTTCTCTAATGTCACTTTGCTCCAATGAACGAAACGAATAAGAAACGAATAAGAACAGAAAACGAACGGTAGTACTAACGCTACCGAATTTCGGAAATGGAAATTCGGATTCATTTGCATTCGTTATGTCTGGAATTCGGAATTCGGATACATCCGAATGTCCGAATTTCCGAAAATTCGTCCGAATTTCGATTCGGAACGAAACGAATCGCACATGTTTATTAGGGAGTATCTCACCAAAAATAAAATTCCTATTGCAAGGGATGCCTAACATATTGATTGTATCTTATTCCAGACATCTGTCAAATCAGTCAGCCAATCACAGAAGCAGGAAGTTTAATTTCTGTACACCAACTGTGTACAGAGCGACTTCCGGTCACCAAAATGCACTGAATTTTTTTTGACAGTTTTAAATGGTAAGGTAACTTTTAAGAAGATTAAATTACAAAATGGCTTGTTTAGCAATTATACTGTTTATCCTATATTTATTTTTTTATGATGAGTTTCCCTTTAAGAACATATATGTGACCTTCTCAGTCACTGTTGTATCAATGGGTTCTTCTAGCATATAAAAATACTTCAAAGGCCTAATATATGACCCATATATGATCCTTGGAGTCAGTGTTATTCTTTCTTTGTGTCTACCCTTATTTAAGGGCCCTCCAGGACTCTTAAGGAGCCACTCCATATTTATGCCTGCCGCCACAAATACCTGCCTTTTCTTTACCGCAATCAAGTAAGACAGTTAGGTCACTTCCCTTTCCCCAGCCAGTTATTGGACAGTAAAAAAACAGCAACAGACAGATGAGGTCATCTGTCTGTTTTCTTTGCTCTCTCCTTCTGTCATGATCTTCTTCGTCATCACATTTCCATGCAGCAGAATCTGCTTGGCTCCCAGTCCTGCCCCTTCCTCTCCCAGTCTGCTGTACAGTAAATTATAACAAGTCATGTTCAGGTACTGACACTAATTACACTTGTCCGGTTATTTTTTGCTTCCTGTGTTTTGCTGGGGAGATTTCGCTTCACTTCCTGTCTTGGAGACAGGAAGTGAGGGGAATTCCCATGTTAGACAGCTGTCATCAGAACAGGTCTTTCCATTGGAAGAATTCATTTCTACTTACTTTCTGTCTCTGCGCCAATGGTCACCAGAAGAAACAGAGGGGTGACTCTCCTGAGCTTGGACACAGACCACTATAAAAACTCAGTAGACGCTTTACTTTTCCAAAAACTAAAAAAATACTTTTGTCATTAAATACACTTTAATTTGTGTTTTTTTTTTTATATCTGCCTGGAGCCTAGCTTTACTTTTGCTGTGCCAGTTCCATAGCAATCTGTGCCTCCATTACTGATGTGTACCTAGATAAGTATGTTAATACCTGTTCATTATCTACCTAGTGTATTATACAGAATAGAAAACTGTCCCTGCTTCCTCAGTCACTCCATCGAAGTAGAAACATAAATATAGATTTGTACAATGCAGCCAGTGTTTTCTTGTCCATTACTGAAGAATAGGATTTGATAACATGACCAAGACATAATTCCTGTGTCTGAGACAATAATTACCCACGAGGGAATCTGTTTAGCAAGTTCCTGTGTGATCAACGCAAACTAAAAAAATTCAAGTGTATCTGGGCAAAATTTTCAAAAATAACTTATTCCAGTCTTCCACTAACATTTACACCAGTCCAGTCCTCCTCTAATATAGTTCTATTACCTCTTGATCCAGCCAGTAGAGTCATTATTTGCCCACTTTTGGCCTGGCCTGGATGGGTCAGATTACTTTTGTTTCCCTGAATGTTTCCATATCTAATCATTTACAAGTCATCTCTTCACCTGTGTTCGCTGCAGTAAACTACAATGTGATTGACTAGTTGCTTTGGGAAAATGTGCTCTCCACATCCTAGCTTAGGGTAGATTAGGGGAGGTGATTTATAACACACATGTGTAAGGGGGCGCGGCAGAGGGCGCTAGGGGAGGGATTCATAAAGCACATGTGTAAGAAGGCAGGGCAGAGGGAGCTAAGGGAGGCGATTAAACACCTACATGTATAAGAAGGTTGGTCAGAGGGAGCTAAGGTAGAGATTTATCACACACGAGTAAAGAGGCAGTGCAAAGGAAGCTAAGGGAGGTGTTTCTTAACGCACATGTGTAAGGAGGCAGGGCAGGGGAAGCTAAGGGAGGGATTCATCACACACGAGTAAAGAGATAGTGCAAAGGAAGCTAATGGAGGTGCTTCTTAATGCACATGTGTAAGTAGGCAGGGCAGGGGAAGCCTAGGGAGGGATTCATCACACACGAGTAAAGAGATAGTGCAAAGGAAGCTAATGGAGGTGCTTCTTAATGCACATGTGTAAGGAGGCAGGGCAGGGGGAGCTAATGGAGGTGATTCAACACACACAAGTACAATGAGGTGAGGCAGAAGGAGCTAGGGCAGGGATTCATCACACACCTGTGTAGCGAGATGTGGCAGGGAAAGCTAAGGGAGATAATTCATCACACACATGTGTAAAGTAGCAGGAAGAGGGAGCTAAGGGAGGTGAGTCATAACATACATGAGTAAAGAGGCAGGCAGAGGGAGCTAAGGGAGGTAATGTATAGCACATATGTATATGGAGGAGTGGCAGATAGAGCTAAGAGAGGTGATTCATAACACATGTAGGGAGGCAAGGCAAAAGGAGCTAAGGAAAGTGATTCATAACACACATGTCTAAGGAGGTGGGGCAGAGGGAGCTAAGGGGGCTTTAATAACAGGACTATGTACGGAGGAAGAGGAGAAGGAGCTAAGGGAGATGATTTATGCCACACATGTGTATGGAGTAGGGGCAAAAGAAGCTTAAGGGAAGGGTTTTATAACACACTTGTTTGTGTAAAGGAGGCATGATGCCTAAGGAAAGTGATTTAGAACAGACATGTATATAAGGAAGTGGCAAAGGAAGCTATGGGAGGTTATGTATAACACATATGTGTAAAGGAGGCATGATGCCTAAGGAAAGTGATTTAGAACAGACATGTATATAAGGAAGTGGCAAAGGAAGCTATGGGAGGTTATGTATAACACATATGTGTAAAGGAGGCGTGATGCCTAAGGGAAGTGATTTAGAACACACATGTATATGAAGAAGTGGCAAAGAAAGCTATGGTAGTTGATTCATAACACACATGTGTAAGGAGGTGGGGCAGAGGGAGCTAAGGGGGCTTTATTAATAGGACTATGTAAGGAGGCAGGGGAGAAGGAGCAAGGAGCTAAGGAAGGTGATTTATACGGCACATACTGTTTGTATGGAGGCGGGGTAAAAAAAGCTTAATTGAAGGGTTTTATAAAACAGTGATTATAAAGAAGTGATTTAGAACACACATGTTTATGGAGGAGTGGCAGAGGAAGATATGGGAGGTGATTCATAACACACGTCTAAGGAGACTAAGGCATAATGAGCTAGGGTAGGTCATCACACACACGTGTTAGGAAGTGAGGCAGTAAACACAGAAAAACTGCACATTTGGGTCACTTTAAATTATAGCCACACTGATCCTGACAGAGATCTGCGTTCACTGAAAAAAAAAAGTTTAGGCATGAAAACACTGATCATTATAATTCCATGAAGAGATTATGTTATTTTTTTACTGGACTTCCACTATAATACGTAATTTATTTTTGTCATATTACACAATACTTCCATTTTCCTTTGGGTGAAGCCATCTGGATATTTCTTCGATCATGCTGCTTAGGCAAGCTTGCAATGAGTCATGACCCAGTAAAAATACAAGTTTCTGTGAAAATAGGAAGGTCTCCCAGCAAATCATGGAAGAACAATTCTAAAGAAACAACGAAAATAAAAGTATTTGTGGCAGCTGTTGCTATTTAAAGTGTAATTAGGGACAAAAGCAAAAATGACATACAGGGGCGTAACAAGAAACCACAGGGCCCCATAGCAAAATTTAGTATGGGGCCCTCCCAAAACAAAATGCCACTGAACAACACATTGCTACAGTCATGTGACACAGTGCCTGAGCTGCAGCATATATTATTATATGTGATATGATTACATGCAGTTAGAAAACAATCACTATCTTTGGACGCATCAATCGTGCGTCCATGGATAGTGATTGATTCCTAACTTCATGTAATCATATTGCATACGATTACATGCAGTGTGCAGGCGTTTACAAGCAGCGGCTGTCACTTGATCATTACCTTGAATGGGTGACAGCCGCGGCTTGTAAACGCCCCATTAGGGATTCCTGCTGCAGGAAAACGGAAATTCCTGACTCGCGGGCCGGTACTTGGAGACCCCTGCAGAGCCTTCCTTCCTGCTGCTAACCGGGGCCACTACGGTGGTAGTCCCGCCACTAATGGCAAATATGATGCCATCTGTCACTAGCATTAAAACAACAGTCCCTCGTAACATATTCTTATGTCCTGCTCATCCTGCAGATAGAGCCATTATTTCCCACTTCCTGCCATATGGTGACAACATAGTTCATTCTGCAGTGAAGTGGGACAGCAGTGTAATCACCCTGTGGACAGGCTTTTTTGAGATGGCTTATACAGTAAATCAAAGCTGACCATTTGTAAACACCCTCAATAGTTTGTCCTTAGCCCTGTCACTTTTGCTGGACAGCTTGACTTGTTACAGTCATTGGAAAAAAATATATGCAAGGACATCGAGAAAATTAAGTCAAAAACTCTGTGAATAATATGTTGAACCTTTTGGTATCACCAAGCAAAACTTTTCAATAGTTCCATAGTTCTCCTTAGGGTAACAGGAGGACACAAACTAGCGTCCTCCCGTCATCCTAAGCTCAGTATACCGCGAGCTACAGCTCGCGGTATACTGAGACGCCGCAGCCGGAGCGGATCCCGACCTGGACGTCGGGATCCGCCCAGCTGCGTGAGTGACAGCTGGCTCTGCCTATCTAGAGGCAGAGCCAGCTGTACCCGCCCCCTCCCCCGTCCGTTCTGCCAGTCAGCGTTGGCAGATCGGGGATGGGGGAATCCAGCCCCTCCCCATGTCACGGCAGAGAGCCGTGACAGGATCGAGAGGTGAGCGAACCCGGTATGTGTTCGCTCACCTCCCGATCTACTGAGCCGACCTGTGACAGTCTCATTGTCACAGGTCGGCTAGAACTATGAGGTGAGTGAAAAGCACTCACCTCATAGTTCTCCTTTAATATACAGCATAATACAAAGTATAATCTTTCAGAAAAGCTACACCTTTTATCATTATAAAAACAGTCTGAGCTCCAGTTCACTGATTTTGCTCAGCCTGAGATGATGTCAGTATTCTACAGCAGCAATCCCCTCTCGCCCAGTGATCAGACTGCAGCAGGGGCTGATCTGTGTGATGAAATATACAGGAGTGCAGAAGATACATGATTGTGTCATCTCTGAGCTGGTGTAATGAGTTCAGGTGTTTCCAGTAAGGGGCACTGGCAAGGCTACAGCAATTTATTTTACACAGTTGTATGCTTCCACTATTTTTTCTCTAATATAAAAACAAAAATATCACATAGACAGCTGACTTCTAGTTAAAGGGAAGTCTCATATCCCACAAGTAACCTTCATTATATAATGCGGTTTCTTGTTTATGACCGCAGTTCTCTGGCTGTTTGATAATTTGTTTGGAAGATAAGGGGATGATTGATCAAACAAACAAATATGCAGTAGTAAGAAACCAGAAAGCAGGAGATGTACATATGACTGACCTGCCATGAGGTAGCAGCAAGAAAAGAGGATGGATCTTCGTGTGGGTGGACTTTATAACATGCTGTGTGCTGCTATTGGATACTTTTGTTTTCTGTTATGTTCCTTGCTGCTATGAGGTTTCAGTAAAGAAAGTTATGCAAAATATGAAGCCTCCTGTCTTGCCATAAAATTCAGATGAAATGATTCTTTCTGGGTCTTGGCATGTTTGCACAACACACGAAACTGCTAACTTATATTGGCATTGCCAGAGTTTCTGCTTTTGCTTCCGGCTCTGTTATGCTGACCGGGACGGTGAGGAAGATGGGCCGTCTACTGGAGCCAGTACACATGAGGTCGGCAAATTCCTGAGCTTCTCCCCGAATGAGATAGAAGTGAAACAGACAGATGAAGCAACAGCGCAGTTATAAGCAGGATTAGCCGATATTTACAAATGAAGAGGCTGATTTGTATGAGCACGAGTCTCCATACTGACCTCACTGCCTGCCAATGGTGGAGTCAGTCATATGTGGTGAGATTTAAGGGGGAACTAAATCCTGGAAGCTGTGCCCACAAAAAGACAGAGTAAGGGCCAGTGGCGTCCCGAGGCTGTGTGTCACCCGTGGGCAATGACCTGGTGACCCTCCGCTGTGATGTCATCACGCACGCGCGTGATGTTGCCGTGCGTGCGCGATGACGTCATCGTTCATGCGCGGTGGTCTTTTTGACGCCTGCCGGCGTCCATCACCAAGATGATGAGAGAGGAGGGGACGCTCACCCAGCGGGATAAGGTATGCCGCTGGGTCCCCTCCTCTCTCCTGACACTGTCGGGCTCTCGGTCCGTGACCGAGTGCCCGACATTTCATAAGGGGTGACACCAAAATGACTGTGAGTCATTTTGGTGTCACCCCTCCAATGGTGACACCCGGGTGCGGGCCGCACCCCCCTTGTGACGCCACTGGTAAGGGCAAAGGACTGCTCACCAGTATTGTCTGTGGTCGATCTTCCCCCATTACTGACTTACCATTGCTTGTTCTGCACTGGAGGCAGCCATCTTGGTAGAGGCAGGGCTTTTTTTTTTGCATGTCAGAGCCTCCAGCAATGCACAGTAGTGACATCACTGAATCTTACTACAAATCTCCTGAGACTAGCAGTCAGATGCAGCAGTGCCTTAGATCTCACACTATAGATATACCTCTATAAGGCTGTGGGGAATGTAATGTCTAGGCACACTCCCATACAAGTGGAGACACTCAAGCACATTTTCGGGGGACTACTTAGGCACAATTAGCACTTCTAAATGACCCCTTTAACATAGCAAATTTCCCTTTTTAAGTCTAGGTCCACTCCAAAGTGTAATTGTGCTTTGCCCATGTAACTGGTTCACTTATAGCGGAAACAAACTTTTTTTTAGCTTTGGTAAGGGAGAGCGAGGTTAGAACATTTGGCAGGCTTTTATTTATGTTTTTTTCCCCATCGGTAAGCTTTTTCAATGCTTCCTATCCCTGAGACTCAACAGAAAAATCTCCTTAAAGGTTTCAAACACTGGTTAAATCACTTACAATGGATGCTGCTTCTTCATGTTTAAAAGTTTTAATTTCCTGCAGAAGCAGCTGGTCCCCTGAGCAGTGGCTCTGATGTCCTCTTTTAGGGTGGCTCTTTTCCCTTGCAGAGTCCTATGGAGCCACCCTTGTGTGATCTTGAACTAGACCGGAAGTTCAGGGAAGAAGAGATGAGAGTTTGAGAAACTGTTTGGAGACAGGATGATTGTAAGCGCTTAGGCACAAATGTAAAAAAAGTAATATTTTGCTAGGCAATGTATATTTGTTATATTATTGAAAAAAGGTTGAGAGTTTAATACTACTTTCAAATGAGTGTATGGCCTTTAAAAGTTGTCACCAGAACAAGCATCCCAATTAGGTAATTTCCTCCCTACGCAGGTACAGACAGAAATGAAAACCTGACAAAAGTTCTAACCCTACCACACTATCCAAAACTTGAAAAAAAAGTTTTGGTTGGAGTTACATCATCCCTGTCACCTGGTGGGGCTGTACACTGCACTGAGAATAGGTAGTATACACAATTTTACAAATTGTTACTAAAGAGGAGAACATTTTTTGTTTTTTGTTTTTAAAGCAGAAGAGACAAGCAAAGTCCTTTCTTCCAAAAAAACAAAAAGTTTATAGATGGTAACACTGGCGGAACTACCAGGGTCGCAGCAGTCGCAATTGCGACCGGGCCCTGACGTTCCGCCACATGGGGGGGCCCAGCAAGGAAGTAGAGGGCCCCCCGCGATTGCGCCGCTCCTTCCCTGTCGCACAGACACCCGCAGCATGTACGGGCGGCTGTGCGAAAGGGCTAGAGACGCTGTCACCGATCCCTGAGAATGAGTTGGCCACGCCTCTTAGGGGCGGAGCCAATAGGGCCGTCTCTTAGCTCCGCCCCTGGCCACCAAGACGAGGAAAAGGGCCATGGGCCTGCAGGAGAGAGAAGGTAAGTTTGGAGTGGGAGGGGGCACTGGGAAGAGAGAGAGTGTGTGTGTGTGTTGCTGGGACTTGTAGTCCAGCACAGCTGGTGGTAATCTGCATTGCTGTATGATGATTACACAGTAATGCAGAATAGCTCCAACTATGTAGGACTACAAGTCCCAGCAATGCATTATATTTTTAAGTAGGGATACACCAGTGTTAATACTGGGCATTTTCAGAAGTATTCATACTCGTGAAAATGCCCCGATACTAAGCACAGATAGCAGTGTTCTGTCGAGAACGCTGACCTAGTCGAATTGGCCGACCTCAGCATCTGCGCTTACACACAGATCAATATTATCGAGGAAACCGGGATTTATTGACAAAGTATTTTGTTTAAATCGTTAATTGTGACCGATAATAATAATCTGTCCATCATTTCCTGCCACCCATCAGTTACTGCCATGGACGGCATATCATTAATGGTCACAATTAACCATTACAAACAAATACTTTGTAAATAAATGGCGGTTTCGTCGTTAATCCTGTCTGTACATAAGCGCAGATACTGGGGCAGCGTTCTTGACAGAACACCGGCACTAAAATTTTAAACAAGCGGCTGCCTGGTCCCACGCTTGCTGGGGACCTCGGCAGCCTTCCTGTTA